AAACAAACAAATGCGAATGAATTTTTGAAATGATTTAAACAGATTACAATTACTATTAGTTGAAGAATCCCTTAGAAAACACACATCCCAATCTTAAATCTTCACCATAACTTGTAAATTTAAATACAAAAATAATTTGTATCCTTTTCCAAGTTCCCTTACGCAGACTTTTAAATCAGAATTTTCCAAGAATATCGCTTGAACGCGAACGAGTTAGTAAAACACAACAAACGGGCAAAGAGAGATGATGACAAAGTCTCTGGTTCAGCTTTGATGTTCGCAAGGACAAAAGGAAAACAATGCCCGGTAAAGAGAACAAAAAATAACTATTGAAACAAAAACATAGAAAAAAAGAAAACACTTTTTTCACCAGAAGACACAATAAATTGCAATTTATATCAAAAGTTGTATTCATCATCATCCTCATCGTCATCATCGGCCGAGCCGAAATTATGAGGCTTTATACAAAAGTGCACAAATCTTTGTAGGTTTTCTAGGATATATATATTAGGACATCGCCATGGAACGAAGGATAAAAGTAATTTCAACTGCAGAGTCGATTTTTTAATGTAAAATGTGAAAGTGAGGGCACAGAAATAAAGATTTTACAGGCTTAAAAGTGCCTTTTAATTAAGGAATTAATATAAGAATTGATTACTAATTTAAAATATTGCAAATGTATTTTTAATAGTTACTAATTACATCAAACAAAGTGGCTAAGAACACTGGAAGTGGAAAACTAATTAATCACACTTATTTCTTAATAATAAATATTATTATTAAAATAAAACCCTGCAACTTTTCATATTTTATTTAAGAATTTAAAGCCTTTTTTGTAAGTAAACAATAAATAATAATCTATGATTACTACTTTTGCTGACCTAAAAAAAAAAGAACCAAGAAGAATTTTAATGGGTTTGCAATCCATTCCCCCCATGGAGACTCCTCTCATTTCCATTGATCCACGCTGCCGCTGGACATTAAGTTTCGTGCCGGATGGCAGGCGAAGAATGGTGGGTCCTCCGTTCGGTTCCGCGACTTAATCTTGCGCGATCGTTTTCCATCAAAGGGTTCCTGCTCACATGCAACTAATCTGATTGTAATTGAGGCATGCTAGAGAACGAGAACGAGAACGAGGATGCGGATGCCACGGCGGCAGAACGAACACGCAAAATGCAGAAGGTTCGCTTCGATCTCGTAAAGGTAACTTGGTAGCCAATTATTCAAACGCGAGGATAAGAAAGCAAATAAATTGACTTCAGCCGGCATGGGCTTTAGGCGGGAATCAAAAATGCTCAAGTGCTATATATGTATATTCGGTATATATAATTTTTTACCTTACAGGAATATGGTGAAAATTGCGATTATTCCAAAAATCTTGTTGTGATCCACATTAAGCTCACGCAAATTCCTCCGCCATCCGCCATCGGTGCGGATGTGGTATCCGATATTGGCAGCTTCATCCTTTCATTCCGATGGGTAATTTCGTTGCCATTGTCAATCATATGTTTAAAAGGATGTCTGTCAATCTGGGCTTCATTTTGGGCACTTGGGTACATTGAAAAGTTCAATGCGGGAAGAATAATATAAAAAAATAATAACAACTTTCCTAGAAACATTACTTTCTTGACAACAATTTGTTCTTTTAATTGAATTTTGAGTTTAAAAGCCTATTTGTTAAGGGGGGGGTAAGGTATTTAATTTTTTTTTTTCGTAATTTTTTTTTTATTTTTTATTTTTAAGGCCTAATATCTTAAGAATATTGTGTCCAAGTTTTACATCGATCATGGGAAAATTGACGAAGTTATGGAGAGTTGAACGAAGGTCGGTTGGTGTTAAATGCATGAGAATCACAAAGTTTAAAGCGCTCTCCTGAAAAATTCAATTGTTCAAATCGGTGTACACGATTACAGAAAAACTACTGGACCGATCGATTTGAAATTTGGCACACACATTCTTTAACTAATTCCTCAGGTATTCACGTCGGCCTTTTTTTAATTTTTAATTTTTATATATTTTTAAATTAAGAAATAATGTTTTTTTTTAGTCAAAAATCGGGGTTTTGACTTCAAATTTTGATAAAAAATAGGGAAAAAATTTTAAAAATAAAAACGCTTCGTGAATACCTCGGGACACTTATCCTTTAACGAATGAGGTATAATTTTTGTAGATCGGATGATCCTGTGGACTGTTAGGAGGTACACCGCAAAACAACTTTTTTTGGAGGCGACTCGGGAGATTCCCTATAACTTCTCTACCTCTAAATATTTTTCAATACAAAATTTATCAAAAATTATTCAAATGTTGTGTTATTATATGGTATTTAATTCATTAAGCTAACTTTAGCCGTTCCGCCACAATAAAAGTGGCCTTTTTTGCACCGAATTAACCTTACCCCTCCCTTAAATAACTAAGCTTAAATGGAAATAGTTCTTATAGAAAAAATTAGCTTACAGTAGATTTTATTTTAAAAATAAATCATTTTAAGTCTTATAAGTAAATAATATGTATTCCTTTTGAAATACTCCCAGAATAGCAACCAAATATAATAAAAAAAATATTTAAAAAAAGAACTAAACATAAATAAATCCAGTACATCAAATTCAACTGAAGCAAAAAAGCAATATATACCATAGTTAAACCTGTGTGTGGATACCCACTTATTTCGGGCACTTGTGTGTGGTGTGTCTCAGAGCAACATACCGCGATCGGTTGCAATCGTGCGGGTTACGAGGCGACACAATATTGACAGCGGCTGGAGCGGATCCGTCGATATGCCCGGGGGGGATCGGTTCGGTTCGGTTCGGTTCGGTTTTAAGTAATTTAATCCTCGCCCAGAACCAGAATGCCACGAAGATGTCCACCGATCGCTGCGCTGCGCTGCACTGCGCTGCGCGGAGAACATGCAATGCGAGTGCGAATGCGAAATGCGAATGGGAAGACATGCATACTCACTCGTACAGTGCGGATCACGGCTGGCAGGCCGGATGGTCGACATGGATGCCGATCCCGAAGCTGATGCCGATGCCTGGGAGCACTGTCAGTCGCCTAATCATCGTAATAATTCGCCTCAACTTCAGCCGATGGCAGCGGCAATGGGAAGCCAAGCGGAAATTACCAACACGCGATATTTAATTTTTCCAAAAGGCGAACCAATAATTCGTCTTCATGCCGCTGCCGCCGCTGTTACTGCCACTACTGCCACTGCCACCGCTGTCTTGGCGGTTGCTGGTGCCATTTTTTTCATGTTCGGCTTGACCGATGCCTCCGAAAATGCTTTGGTAGAAAGAGAAACTCATTAACGCATCGCCCTGATGCCAGGACTCCAAGCCAGACTGCTGACCTCCATCCAGGCGGTCGGTATCAATGGAATCGTGGTCAGTCCTCGGCATAACCCAGACCAAGTTCTGCCAACTCACAGTCTAGCCACTATTGGAGCCACTTGATACGGGTAGCTTATAATAATTATACTCTCTATACTTCTAAAACCTTATAAGTACGACCAATGGGATATATAATAATATTATTAACTAACTACCAAACTGAGTATTATTATTTTCAGGTTCTATATCTTTATAAAGTATAAGGTTTTATTTTTAATATATAGAATTAAATTAATTCCATTGTAAATATCAAGTAAGCTCGCTTATTCTTGTATGTCATAGTGGGGATTTTTCTTTAATAGCCTAAATCAATATAATTTTAAGGCCATTTAAGAAAAGTTTTTGGAATATTTCTCTTGAATACATACCTCTAAGATAAAAAGTAAAATCGATAGAAATTTTATTAAATTATTTTATTATCTCAATAATAACTATAGTAAAAAAAAGACCAACCAAGCTAAGACAACATTTTATTTAAAAAGCAAATAAATATTCAAAATTATCCAAACCTTTTGAATAAAACCAAACTAATAGTTTAGCTGGCTCAATCTCGATGTGCTTTTAATATAAATTTTCAATATATTTTTATCTCTTACATATTCTAAAAACATTTTTCGAAAATTTATTAGAATTTTTTAAAAAACAATTTCAAAATAGAGAACTGAAAGAAGTATAGTAAATGAATATAAATATAATAAATATTAACCAAAATAAATTCTTAATACTTTTTGGGCTTTATCTAATCTGTGATTACATGTTCTTGGAATGGAATTAATTCTTTGAAAAATTTTAAATATTTATATTTTCTATAGGCATTCTTAGGCATTCCTTTAAATAAACATAATACATTTCTTAGTTATATAATCTGAAATATTTAGATAAGAAAGAATCATAATTGAGGTTTCTAATCTTTTAAGCTTGCATCGACAGTTATGTTTTAAATTAAAACTTTTAATTCAATGTATTCAATTATCTTCACAACAACTTTTTCACCTTTCATTTGTGTTATATAATCATTAGGAAGTGACACAGAAATAGGTTACTATTTGAAATCAAGTTGCCAGATTTATGAAACATTGGTGTTCTTCAAAGGGTATACTTTTTTTTAACACTTATTAGTGCTTTTTGATTACTTTTAAATTCGATTTCATATTTATAAAACCTTTATGAATAAGTACAGATTTAAAAGAAAATCCCACACACTTGTTTAATTGCTTTAAGATACTCATTACAATCTTCTTTAACCCTTGCTTATTAAAACAAAGGCCAGAAAAAATTATGAATAGAAAGCCGAGGGCCAGATATAAATTTATACTTGCCCAGTAGGGATAATTCTGGTTTAAGATAGAAAGATTTAAACCAAAACCAACACCATCGCTTTTTAATTTTTAAATTTTTGAAGGCAGCAAAATTTTGAATTGAAAACTGACTACCAGATAACATTTCCCCAGTAGGGTTATTTCGGGTTCAAAATAGTTAGTAGTTTAAAAACAAAAACCAACATCATTGCTTGTTAATTTTTAAAGTGTACATAATAGCTCCACACCCCATCCCAAAAACCTGAAATAAAGATAAAGATAAATGCAAACGCAATTACGGATTTTGAGAGATTGACACTTTAAAGTTTATTTTGTTCGGTTGTTAATAAATATTTATTCGCTTCGTTATTAATTAGTTTATATGCTTACTAAGAGTTACGGAGATTACAGCAGTACGAAAACAAATCGATTGGAATGGCTGACGAACGGGCCAAATAATTAAGCTACTTAACACAATTAGTATTTGTTATTATACGTGTAGATGAATTGAATTTGGTTTTCAAAAACAAGTGGCCACACAGTCGATATCCCTAGTTAATACTAGCTATAGTACGCCGATCTATTAATACCTGTTGCGTTGATATTAATGCGCTAATTGATAAATGCAAATAGTATTTGCCTCGCAAAATGAGTCGTGTTCGTGAATACTAAGGTGGCTATTAACAATCAAAATGGAGGTATTTACACTATGGCCTAAGGACTAAGAACTAAGAACTGGGCCGGGGGGACCTCTACTGCTCGGCATCGCTGGACCCGCTGCTCTTGTCCGGGGTGTGCGATCTGCTGGAGGCCTTGGAGGCGCAGGACCTCACGGACAGGTCCTCCGGCTCGCTGTCACAGTAGCTTTCGTTGGAGGCCTCGCTGTGGGCCAGCGGGCTGAGGCGCTTCATCAGGGCCTCGTTGAAGGGATATGTCTCTAGGTCGGGCTCCGAGGAGCTCGCAGTGGCCGCCGCATGGGGATTGTAGATGGGATGCACACCTCCGCCTCCGCCGGGCTGCATGGAGGCTGCGGCCGCTGCAAAGGCCAGGAAGTTGAGGCTGGCGTTGAAGAGCTTGCACCAGTCCAGCAGGGCGGCACCCTGGTTGTCGGCTTCCGGGGGTGTGGTGCTGCTGCCACTGGTGGAACCTATGGCGGCACCCATGGGCGGCGGTGGCGGTGGTGCTATCACAGGCGCTAGATCCGCGGGAGTCGGAAAGGGAGCTGGCAGTAGAGTGGGCACTGGCACTGTCGTCGTGGTATCCGGGAACATGGGCGTCTTGGCCTGCTCCGTTTGCAGAACACCCTGACTGTTGGCATCCAGGGCATTGTTGTTCTTATCGTTGACCTGCTCCGGCTGGCTGGCTCGCTTGGCCGGATCCTTGGCCCAGTTCTTTACACTCAGCAAGGGCTGCCCATTCTTGGCGTAGTCCTCCGAAGCCAAAGCCAGCACCTTGTTCTCCTCCTCCGACTTGGGTGCGTGTGTCTCCACTGACGACACTGGTTCTTGGGGCGGTGCCTGGGGAGGAGGGGCCAATTTGGAGTTGAGCAGCGCCAGGAGATTCAGCTGATGCAGCATATTGTTGGAGTAGTCCATCACGCCGACACCGTTTTGCTGCATCATTTCCGGATGCAGGCCATTCTTCTTCACAAACTCCACCAGGCTCAGCTTCTCGAGCAAGCTCTCGCTTTGTCCCGGATAGTCTCCTGCGGCATAGGGCAGCGATCCAAAGCCCAGCTCCTCGTAGTTCTGCGGCAGACCCACAAACTTGGGCGGCAGTTGAAGCTGCAGCTCGAACTTGGCCCGCTTCTCGGGCGGTGTGTCCACCAGGCCCAGGTGATCCGGTCCCAGTTGGCGGCACATGAAGCGCAGCTTCTGTTCGTTCTTGCACCAGCCCCGGAGCGTGGACTCTGGGACTCCGATGTCGCGGGAAACACTGGCCTTTGTCTCGCCATTGTGGATGCGCTGGATGGCGCGCACTTTGTCGTTGGGCGTGAGATTCCGCAGCGGACGCTTGCCGCGCGTGCTCATCCGGATGTTCATGTGCTGGTAGGCGGAGATATCCATGGCGAGCTGGAGAGATCGGAGCGCGGTTACGGTAACGGTTGCGAATACGGTTACGGGTGCGAATTCGGTTGCGGATGCGACCACCGGTGTGCACTCCTCGAAATCGCAGAAGGATGTGATTCAGAGTCCGATTCCGCGACGCGCCACAGCGAATTTCTGAATTCACGAGATGAGCCGACGCATCTGCGGCGAAGAGAACACTGGACGGACGCGAACCCGTTTGCAGCCAATCCAGTGACAGAAAGGCTCTCTCGCCACCACTTGTTACTCGGCGACTTACGCGCCTGCTCTCTTCCAGGACAACGCTGGCTCTCTGCGGGCGGTGCGCTCTCTTAACAGGACATCTGGTATCCCGTCCCGTCCCGTCCCTCTTCGCGGTGTGAGTGTGTGTGTGTAAGGTGGAGTGTAGTGGCCGTGGATGCACATTTCCAAATTGTCTCCGGGTAGGCCTTCTCCTGCACGTGCCCCTCGCTGTGTGTGTGTGTGTGTGTTTATATAGAAACCAGTTATTTACCTCCCATAAACACTCGCGAGTGTGCCAAAGTGTGTGTGTGTTTGGTCAACCTTTTCGCTTGTGCGTGAGCGAATCTGATGACTTGGATTCGGATTTAGATTTGGATTTGGATTTGGTCTTGGACGCGGCTACTGCTGCACTTTTGGGTCGCGAATATTTTTGCAATAACACAGTTTCGCTTAGGACTATTTGTATTCCGTATTTGCTCTAATTTCGTTATTACTCTTTGGTCAATATTTGCTTTGGTAAGAGTTTGAAGCTGGCCCTGTTTTCACCCTGCAAATAAAGGCTATTATTTACACTTCAATTTATATATATTTTTATGAAAGGTATGGCAACTTTATTATTTTATTTTTATGCCCTTAGAAAGTATTATAATTGAACGATTTTATTTGACAACTACTTCTTTTTATTGTACGACTATATCTTAGAGCAGAAAATGCAAATTTACAAATACATTCTCCTAAAATTTATTTCCGAATTCTTTTGTTATATAGAGCTCAAAGCTCTAAAAAGATAAAGTTAAATTAATTAAGAGACCATATAAAATTAGTCAAATATTTTCAAGAAACTGGGAACTTTAGAGCATAATTTATCCAAAAAAATCCATGTTTTGCCTGATTTTCTACGGGAACAAACGGGTACCTGTACAGGACAGATATGTAGATACAGTTTCAATTCCATACAGTAAATATACACAAGTCGATAACCAGATCCATAATATAGATCTCACAGTCTATAAGAACGAGAATTATTAAATTTGGCTACCAACTTTTTTAAAAGATTGTGCCCAAATGTAGTTTTTAATATCACGTAAAAGCCTAGTTGAAGCTGAATTTTCTGGAAATGGAAAAAGGGGCTCGGAAGTTTTCCCGAAATGACTCTTTTTTTCTCAATGTTCGTATATCTTAAAAATAAAATAATAAATAAGGAAAGCAACTCTGATGAATTAATTAATTAATTCAACAATTATTTGATTTTAATTAAATTTATAAAAGCCGTAAAAGAACTATATACTGCCTGCTGACCGGAGAACACAAATATCAAAGACTCGTGCGCTGATACCAAAAAATAATAATTTAAGATGCCAGAAAAGTGGCTAAAGTCATAAATAAAATACTTACACTGTTATTTTTTATTTTTAAATTAGTTTTGTTGTAAATAAGAGTTTAAAATTGTACCTTATCAGGGATTAATTTATATTTTTAAATTGGCGCTGAAATGTTGACTAAGTTAGCAGGACCATGGCAGGATAAATTCGATACGTGACTATCGATATTTTGTGAAACTAGGACTATTGGGGATGTCCTTACTTGTATACTCGTGGGTTTTCCCACTCTCTCAAAGGCAATGCAAAACCAAAAACCTTAACAAAAATAGATATGAAATTATTTAAAAAAACACCATCCCCCTTAACAACTCTTGAAAATAAAATGAATTGTTCATTACTTTTTAATACTTTTTTTTATTGTGTTATTAAAAGACACATTTTAGAAAGTAAGTAGCCTTTAGTATTTATGTTTGATTTACACATATTTAAATAAATGGTCTATTAACTATAATTTATTAGATTACACCTACATGTATTGATTAATTTCCGTGTTGTCGTATATTATAACTATTTTATTATATGTATTATTAAACAATTTGTATTTGTATGCAAAATTAAAGAAGATTTGTGTTTAAATAATAACATAATAATGTGGTGTTTCTCAACAATCGAAAACGTACAGAGGTGTGTTGCTAGCAAATTGAAGTATATTTATTATTATTATTAAGGCTTTGTGGATTAAATTAAGATCAACTAATATTTAAATTGTCTAATTAACTGCGCTTGTTAAATAACATAAATATTACAAATCACAAGTGTGGTGCCGTTGAAACACAAGAATATTACTGTAATCTTCTATATACTTGCTGTATAAATATGAGGGAACGGTATTTATTTTAAGTCTCAATTTATACATACATACAAATTTTAAATATATACATAACCTATGTTGGCAGTCTGCCCTTACAGTTTGTACATATACTTTATTGTTATTATGTACATAATTTGTTTCAGTCGAAGGCTTATTAAACTAATTCTGAACGCATACGTCAAATGCACATACCGATATATGTATTTATCTTATTATATGCTACATGCCTTACACCTTAGAGGTAAATAAAACCAGATAACTCTTGGGGGACATTTTGGAGAATACTTGCATTAATTGTAAATTAAAATTAATTATTGCCAAAGGAAAATCGTACAAAAATGTAAATGCTTCATCTTGGTTTTGAGCAAGTTAACAAAAGTCAAATGGAAGTGACTTCAAGGAGATCTCTGCCGTGTTATTAAAAGCTAAACAAATAAAATGTAATTACTTTTAAAACCTAATGTTAGTAGAATTAAAATTCGGATACTGATCACGCTTGATAAAATTAGAAAACAATTAAATTTAGTGGAATTCATCGTGTCGATAACTGAGTGAATATGTTGATTCCATTTGCTAAAACTTTGCTTGTGAGTATATTTATGGGAATTTATCAACAATCATGAATATATGCACGAACTTTTTATGTAACACCCCTGTAACTTATGCCTAGTTTATCATTAGTAACAATTGTTAATAGCTTATAGATAATGATCCCATTTGCCCAATGCAGCGACCTCCCTCCTCGTCAAAGGTGGCCAAAGTCAATCTAGACAGCTTATTGCATAACACTCCATTTCCATTATTCTGAATAGGATTTGGCTCTGAAAGAGGTGTAAATAATATTATTAATATTTAGACAAGAATTTGGTTTATTTTAAGATATAGTAAAATAAATATCCCTGATGGTTATAACAGCTTACTTATATTTTTGTAGAATTGTCTTCACTCCATAAACTCCACAACTTTAACATATCCAAGTCTTATTTTTAATTTTCATAAACTAATTATTTGGGCCATCTAGTTATATAAAACCTTGAACTTACCATCGTGAAAAGGTTCTTGAGTGTTCCCCTCCTGCTTTTTGTTTCGTATTTGATCCGTAAAATGTGATATAAGTGCGTCTATCATGGCGGCTTGCTTGGAAAATATTTGCATTAGCTTCGAAACCTGTATTCCATTCTCAACAGCATCGAACTATAAGAAAATGATATATATTATTTAAAGATATTAATTAAGTATAAGGGATATATCTAAATACCTGAAGAAATATACAAGTCAGACATTCGGGATCATCACTGGCACTGGGCTTGGCATAGTCCCAAGACAAGTCCTCATATCGCAAGCCCAGCAAGAGAGTCTACATAGTGGTAAATAAAAGGTATTTCTTAGAACTACATATAGAGTTTTAAGGATGTAGGACACTTACACATTCATACGGATCAATGATAAACACTCCCTTTTCATTAACCGCAACTAAAACCTCCATATCCTTTTGGTTAACCAAAGCCATAATTCCCCTCACTGGCTGCTCAATCTGACCATGGAAGTAGGCGGCTCTAAAATATGTTTAAATAAGAAAAAATATTAAATTTAGATATAATTATAATTAAATATTATATATTTACCCGTAAAAGGGCAGTGCCCAGCAAAATTCCAGATATTTCCGCATTAATTTCCTTGTAGTTGCTGTTTGGGGAACCCTCTTAAACTGCTCCAACAGCTTGACCTCCGCAGAATTCTTCTGGCTTATGGGCAGCCACAACCAAGTCGAGCTCTTGGCTACATGAGGTGGCAAGAAACGAGCTTGGTTTTCCCTTTAACACAGAATTAAATAAATCTTAAATTGATTTATTATTCAATTTATTTCTTAACTCACCGAAAAAAGCCTATTGTGTGGGTATGCGAATTATAGGGCCCAAGTTCAATCCGAGCCTGTATGCCACCCAACATCAGTGAATGCACTGGCTCCATAATGTATCTACCCGTTAGCACATTGTTTCTGGCCTCCTCATAAAGGAGCTCTAAGATTCGATGATCCCTGGAAAATATTTCAAGTAAATTAATTTCTTAAGAAAATATACACAGAATTTAAAATAATTCGATTTTACTTGATCTTTTCCTCGTCTCTTTTCGAGAAGAAAACATTTCTCTTCAACACTATCATGGGCTCATCAAACTTTCGATCACTGGGACTGCTATTGCTGAACTTCTGGAGCAGATTGGGCCACGCCACCCTCACTATATAGGGACAGTGATGGGCCTTGAGCTGCATTTCCAATAAAGCACTTGTCATCCACAATCCAAACACACTCTGGGCCAGCAGCTTGTTGGATATGCCCAGCTCCTCGCAGCCCAGAGCAGCGGCCAGCATGACCTGGGATGGACACTGGGAGGTGCCCTCAATCTCCATGTGAACCGCCACGCGGGACATAAGATACACGCAAGTGGGGATTACCTTGAAATTTATATAAAATAAAGGTCAAATAAGATTTAATTAATCTTTGTTTAGGAATATTACATTTTGAAGAGCCCGGGTCAGGTTGGAAGCAGCTTTCCCAGCATTTGCGAAATTTGAAGTTGAGCTTGTGGTCATCACGCGCTTTTGGATTGCAGGATTGGATTGGGCATCATTGGCATTGTTGCACTTATGGTGTCCAGGCATGAATGAGGTGTTGGTTAGCACGCCTTAAGAAATAGATTTACAATATATTTATCAAAAAATAATCTAAATAGAAAGCGAGACTCTTACCAGAAGGACTTCTCAGGTCAGACAGGGGACAAAGTGCACTTGCGTTGTTCATCATGTTGGCGCCCATGTCGCCGAGTCCCCCGAGACACTGGGCATTCGAGGAGGCGGCCATTGCCGAGGACACCTGTGCCGGCGACAGGCAGTCGCCCTCGTTCTGCCCCGTGCTGACCACACTGGAGACACTGGCAGAGGAGGCAAAGGTGCTACCCACTGCCGTCTGGATTTGGGCGGTGGTCACCACACGGTGAACGGTGTACATGATCGGGGGCACTGCCATGGAGCCCAGCGACACTGGCGTCTGCTGGTCGCCGCACGTAACCACACCGGTGCTATTCTGATGGGTCTGAGTGGCTGCCACGCGACCACTGCCGCTGGCGCTGGGGAAGATCGCAGCACAGTTGTCGAAGGCATCTGGCGGATCGGTGACCTGCGAGGCCTGTAATTGCGGCAACTGATGGATTGGTTCTGGGTGGCTCATCTGGTGGTTGTGCTGAAGCGATTGCTGGATGTGGAGAAAGTTGGCCTGATGCTGCTGCTGCTGCTGCTGGTGTTGTTGGTGTTGTTGGTGTTGCTGGTGGAGCTGGTGTTGCTGGTGTTGTTGGTGTTGCTGCTGCTGCTGATGTTGCATGTGCTGTTGCGGTTGGTGTCCCTGGTGCTGCGGCATCCCTCCAGCCGCATTGTTGGCTATATAGTAATCATCGCGGCACTTGACATCCGTAGTGTTGTAATATAAATGCGATCTGGAAAAGGGTTCCCGAAATTAGTTCATTATCCCAAATAACACATAATTACTATATGCAACTCACTCATAGTCCTGAGTAGTTAGCTTCTTTCGGTTATACTGCAAAGTTCCTAGGGGAACGGTCATTATGTTGATATAGTTCCCAGCGTTGGCAGTAGTACTTTTGCTGCATTGCCCACTGTTGCTGCAGACCGATCCGGCATAGGGACTCCCCATTCCGCTGCCATTTCCACCAAGCGATTTATTGTTCCCGCTCCGCGGCACCAGATCCTTGGAGTTGTATCCCGACTGCGATTGACTGGAGCCGCAGGCTACGTACTCCTGCTGCCCTGCATTCATCCCATAGTTCATTTTGTTCGACGAATGTTGGGGAATTGACGACGCCGACGTCTGCTGCATAGCACTCCGGCAGTAATAATGATTTGGCTCCATGTTGCTGAAAAAAAACGGGAAAAGATTATAAGATGCGGAACAAGTATTATTTCAAACGTATATTCTAATAAATAATAAAAAAAGAGGTAGCTTGAGGTATTATTTTGAAGTACTTTTATCTGTTTTATATATTTTCAAAGTACTATAATATTAGTCAACAGTTTGTTATGCAGTAAAGGAGACATTTCCGGCCCTATAAATCATAGATATTCCTGATCAGCATAAGAAACCGAGTCGATCTGGACCCGTTTGACTTAAAAATTGTTTTTATCATTTCTTTTTTTATTTTTAGAAGGGGTTACATCGTTAATATTGTCAAAAATTGAATCAAATTTTAATTTTTTAATTTTAAATTCAGTATACAGGTCTTTTAACATAATGAAAACAAACATAAAACAGTTTTCCGATTTAAGATTAATGCTTCTTTGGCTAAACCGATATCTTATGAATTTTAAATATTTTATATTTTTTAGAATCAATATTTAAATATTTTTTTACTTACCGATTTTAAAAGATCATGTTTGATTTGGTACTAACAAATAGTTTCAATTACTGTCATTACCGCCTTGGGTTTTATTTGAGCAAAAAAGAGAGCCCTCATTTTATCTGGCAGCTGTGATAAGTTCACAAAAGTCCATCATTTTCGAAGACTTTGGTTATTAAATTGCCTATCTGAAATATTAAGGATTGTTTATGAATACTTATTATCACAACCTTTTTAAGATTTACAAAAAAATAAATAATCACACTACCTTTACTTATTTTATTTTGTATGTAAACAATTAAGTACTCTTAAAAAGTATTCAAATTTTAATTGTAGTTTAAATGGTAGTTAAGTAGTTTAATTGCTACTGATTAGAAAAGGTTTTAGATTTTAGAACATCTTCCATTAATGGTCATAAATAAACACAGTTTAAATGGTACCATAAGTAAGGGGTTAGAGTTTAAAATACATTTTAATGCTCACGCAATACAATATTTATATTTTTTGTGGATATTTATCTTTTTATTATAGGAAAATTCATCTAATAGATTTTGTATTTCAAAGCAGGTGAAATTGGGGGTATACATATATGTATATAAATATATACATGCACGTACATACCGACACGAACATCTGTACTTATGAATATACTTTTTCTATGTGCGTCATGGTAAACTTTAAATGCGAACTGGAAGTGTGTCAGCGCAGATGCATAACTTTTATTTTATAATTGGAGGCACGTCAACATTATATGTTAATTTTTTTCACATGGCACGGGGTAAAAAAAAAAAAGAGTCCTCCGTCCTTAATCAATACAGGCTTTCATATGTATGCATACACATACACACACGCACAGCACACACACACACTTACGGACACACACGCACACGAACGAATCCTTCTAACTGGGTGGGACTTTGAAGGCCATAGTTTTTCACCGAGCCATCGCCGCCTTTCCAACTCAATTTATTTGTCTTCGAACGGTTGAATTTGGCCAGGAAGCACTCCGAAAGTGGCCAAGTGTGTCTACATATCTGCGGAACTCACTCACGCACTCGATTCTGTGGCGTTGAAAAAATGTGTTACACGGATATTGCCCGAAAGATACATTTTCCGTGGTGTTGTCTTTGCTGGGTTGATGCGGGAGCTGCTGCGTGATTTGTAGGCCTCCTCGGCTTTGTTTGCTTTCACTCTCTCGTTTATATATGCCTTTATTTTTACATATTCCACGATATTGGGCTAGGCGACGTTATACTGAAGCGATTCCCTCTATATATCGAACGATGACGAGAACTTGGCGAACTTTTTAGTACACAAAATGCCAAAACAGGCGACTTAGCACCAAAATATCTACTTATACAACACCACTTTTGGACACAGCCAACCGAAGTAAACAAACACATGCAAACTCGGGCTCCGGGCACTGCGCAGGCGTCCCAAAATTGCTGCTTGAGATTTCGCCCAGCAACCAGTCTATCGTTAATCGGGATATTCCACCGTTACGAAAATCAATATCCCGCTTTATAGCGGCAAAGAATGATAAGAATCGAAAAATCAAATATCACGAAGTTTTCCTTTTATTTAAACAGTTTTTATAGTTACAATTCTCAATGTACTTCTCTTTTTTTTAAGTATTTAAAACACTTTCTACAAATCGTTATTTAGCAACCAATTTATTTGTGATACTTTTGCAGCTGCGGAGCCGACAACTTGACCTTTCCTGGTATATTCCTGGCCAGGGACTCCTCCTTTATGCTTTTCAGCAAGTCTTTCTCGCGAGTATTGCAGCTCTTTTCCTTGGCGAAGATATTCAGGGCTAACTTGGCAGCCTTTCCTCTTTTTCCGGTACCGGGAGTGAGCTTTACCTTGAACCTGCACAAAGTAAATATAAAATTAACTGGAATTTAAGATTAATAAAGGTTGGTAAACTGACTTGTAGTTCTGCAAGGCCTGGTAGGGAGCCACCACTGGGATGGCGAAGAGCAACTCATCTCCCTCATGGGGCTGGCCAGTCAGACTGTTCAGTATATCCACATCCCCGCCAGCGGGCACTTCATCGGCATCATCCAGTTCAACGGCGGGGTTCTTGGGAGCCAAATTCTTGGCCGGCTTCGCTGAATCCTCTTTAAACGTCACATTCTTTTCCACCACCTTTTCACTGCTGGACTGAGGCTTTTCCTTGCCGGAAGACTTGAGGATCATCATTCGGATTTCCCGCTCTTCATCGTCCTGATCCTTGTACTTTAACTTCATTTTCTTCAGCTTTCCCTTCTGGCCTCTCTTGACCTGGGAAGGATTCTTCGCTTCTGTGTCTGCTGGTGGTGCGGCTTCCTGCTTGGCAGCTTCTTGTTTAGCAGCTCGTGCTTTTTCTTCCTTTGTCTTCTTGGCACTGACTTGCTTCTTGCGACTAGGACCTGCCAAAATGATGGTGGTCTCCTCATCAGCAGGCTTCTTACTCAGCAGTTTATCAATGACATTTTCCTTGACTTCGTTCTCCTCGTTCTCGCCATTCAAAGAGTTGGCCCTCACTGTGATGCGACCCGTATCGTGTTCAATCTTCACTTCCGTATTGGGGAAAATAGATGTGTCCGTGTTGGAGCTTGGCTCCGATACATTTGCCAGGGGATTTTCCGCAGAATCCTCCTCATCGGACAGAAGATCGTGTGTAACTTCGGGCTCCTTGAAATCCTGCTCGTTCGCATCATCCTCCAAGTTGCGCACCTTGCGCTCTCCTAAATGTCGCTCTATAAAGCTGTCCTCCAACTTGAAGAGCAAGCTTAGGCCCATGGTGAGGTGGCAGGATGGTAGGAAATTCTTCTTGCCTCGAATCATAAAGCTGCCCGTGGCCAAGTACTCTCCCGTTGGTGCGGTCTTGCTGACCTGGTCGCTGGTCACCCAATAGGAATTGGTTACCACCTTGGCGTCCCAGGCCACGCTGTATGAAATGGCCATGGAGCCGGCTTCTAGCAATGTTTTGGGCGGTATCTCCTCACCGGTTGGATTTTGTATGATAACACTCGAAGCACCCTGGATCTCGGCGTGCACATAAATGTCCTTTGGACGCATGTACCTAAAATAATGACGAGTCATAGGGAGGTAGGGAGTCATTTAATAATGTGTACTTTTGTGTGAAAAACCAGACTCACCTCTTAACAATAAGCTCATTCTGCTGTGCATCTCTGCCTCCGATAACCAAGTAATTCTCAGAGCTTATAAACCAATAGAACTTCTCAAACCAGAACACTTTTCGGGCCTTGACAATGTTCGAAATGGTTCGGACTTCCTTGAGCGTTTGTTGAGTTTTACGCTCAGCCGATTTGAGCGCCTTTTGCGAGGCATCCACCGTCTTCTTTTCCTTCTGAGCAGCCGAACGCTTCATGTCGTAATAACGGCGGGCATTAGCCCAAGCGGATAAAGCCAGATCGACATCCACAACAGTCACCTCTGGCGTCTCATCATCGTCGTCGTTCTCATAGGGATCGCTCAGCATCAGGGAGATGTGATTCGTCTCCAGCTTCAGCTGCTTAATAGAACTAGCCACGGCATCGCCATTGGCCTGAGCCTCCTTCACCAGCTCGTGGATATCCGGCCAGGACAATTGACTGGCAATGGCGGACTGAACGGCTCGAATGGCATTGTCCACCAGACTTTGATTGGACGTAATCAGCTCAGCCTTCTTTCTGTCCACGTCCTGGACTTTGGTCAGCTCCTCCAGACGCTTGGCATGATCGTTCTTCACATTGGAAAGCTTCTTCAAAGCCTCACGCTCCTGATGCAGGGTTTTCATGTCGATTTTTTGCGATTCCTGTGTGGAGTAGAACTCATCAACGGCTTCCATGAAGGACTCGAACTGGGCATTTTCGAATTCTTTAAACTGGGCAAACAGGTACGGATGAAATTCGATATTTCGGAAGAAATATTCCACATTGCCACTTTCTGTTGGCTTTTCCTCTTTCACTTGAATGATGTAGCCCTTAGTTTTTCCACATTTTGCCTCTATGATGAGGTCTTGGACGCTCTAGAAGTAAAGACAAGGATGCAGAGATTAGATAAGCAAGTTAATCAAGTCTAGTTTGTACCAACCTTTACGGCTTGCTGCACAGTGGGTAGGTCATTAACCATGTCAAATGGCTTTTGATCTAGTTTCGGTTGATTCCGCCCTTTCTTTTGCTTTTTTCCGGTCTTCTCCGGTTTCTCCTCCCCTTCAGGAGTTTCAGAAGCCGTCTCCTTGCTGATCACACGATTGTCCAGGCCATGTGAGACTAAAACATGCTCTATTACCGCTGGGCCACAGTCCAAATTGGGCATTAGAACCTGCCGCAAGTAATCGCCGTTATTGGCATTTTCCAGCAGTTCAGCCACCTTCTCGGGCTGCAGTTCCTCGGTGGCCTGCTTGGCACGTTCCACGGGATATTTCTCACGCATGGCAAAGCGCAGATTCTCTCCCTCCGTGTGTGGACGCAGGATATAGAGCGTAGTCAGCTCATAGTCGGTCAGAATCAGATTACCGCGATCGTAGAGCTCCAAAATAACATGGTAAGCGGCATCGCCGGTGCCGAACTGGAAGTCCACAATACGATCGCCGCCCAGTTGCTGAATCTTCTCCAAACGCTTGTTCTTAAGATGTTTACGCAGCTTCATGCTGAACCCCGATGGGGCCATATTTTTGGGCCATTCGAAGCGAGTGGTGTGGAACCGGGTGCCGGACTCAATCAGCAGCGTGACCTTCTCCACAGCTCCGGTTCCCGTCATCCGGAACAGATACGTCTTGTTATCCACGTCATAGATCTGATTCACTCGCCAGCCGACCAGCCTGGAATAAGGAAAATACTTTAATTATTCGGGAGTTCCTTCGACAATGTATTTCACCACGAACTTTTGCAATTCGGCGACTCCGCAGATTATATCAAAGGTATTGAAACGTGTCTTCATGGCTCCAGCGCGTCAGTTGACGATGTCAACACGGTCCACGACAGTAACAGTCTTAAGTTAACAATATATTTTATAATTAAGTGTTAACAAACTCGCTATCTAGGATAGACAAGCAAACAAATTTAACTAGGAAAATAAAGAATGAAAACAAATTTTATTCTTCGCCCAGCAAAATTTATCGGTTGTATTAGAGATGGGCAAATGTCAAGCGGAATTGATCGATGTTTGAGGAACAATTGGAATGGAACATTCATGAATATATATTTTGAATTGTCAAAATATGATGCATTATTTAGTAAACAATTTATAGAATTATAATTCATAATATAGCTGGTTATAAATAAGAATTCAATTATTTTGTGTACAAATTTTTATGAAAATCGATACATCGATAACATGCCCTGTGGCCATATGTTTGGGTCGCCATCCCATATCTATCCATTATCACCGCAACTCTCGAAAGGTTTGGAAACAGAAGCTATTTCACAAGATTATGCCGACTGATGGACCTGTTGTCAATGTCCACGTGCTGTTTTTTGCCAAGTCCCGCGAGTTAGCCCGAACCCCCCGCTCGGAAGTGGATGTGCCCGCCCAGATCGTCGCATCGGAACTGCTGGAGCAACTAGTGGCCAGATTTGACCTGACCTCCATCCGGGACAACTTGATTTTGGCCCACAACGAAACATACATTGAGAACCTAAGCGATAAGATTCACTTCAAGGAGGGGGACGAGCTGGCCATCATCCCGCCTTTAAGTGGAGGCTAACCATATCGCCATGGATCACGTTAAGCTGGTTGAGGACCCCATTGACATTGCCCACATCCACCAATTGCTAGCTGACGAGGGCTGTGGTGCCTCGTCGGTTTTTGTGGGCACCACGCGCGATAACTTTCAGGGCAAAAAGGTGGGTTTCCTCCTATCTCTCGGCCAGGTATCAAGCAAATCAAATGATTAATATTTACTTTTTGACTTATGTTCAGGTGGTGTCATTGGCGTACGAGGCCTACGATAACATGGCCCTCAAGGAGATGAATAAAATCTGCTCGGACCTACGTACCAAGTGGCCAGAGTTAAGGCACATAGTTATATATCATCGACTGGGAAATGTGCCCGTCTGCGAAGCCAGTGTAGTCATAGCCGCCTCCTCACCACACCGATCCGATGCCCTGGAGTCTGTCTCGTTTGCCATTGATCAGCTCAAGACCCGGGTTCCCATCTGGAAGAAAGAGATATACGAGGGCGATCACAACAGCGAGTGGAAGGAGAACAAGGAGTCATTCAGGCCCAGTAAGAACCAGTAATTAACTACCATGACATGTATTCCTTTATAATTTGTACACACACATTTCCTTAAAATACAATTAGCTAGCAAATGATTTCTTTACTTTATAATCACACTTTCCAGAGAGATCAGTAAGTAATTTTAACTACTTGGCCTGTCCCTGCAAGGCCGAGGAGTCACCTGACGAAATTGCTGCACCACAAAAGCTGGTGCAAATTAGAGTTAATGATGCCGAGTTAGCCAAGCGCGTAGAGTGTTTTGTCAACAGCAAGCGGGCCGAAATCAACTCACAGAACGTAATTGACTTCAAGGCAGAAGATAAAGACCTGAGCGATTCCTGCGCCCGAACGCAAAGCTCCATAATAAAGCAGGAAAAGTCAAATTGTCATTTGAAAGGTTGGTAAACGCATTATTTACGATATTTGTGTGTAGATAATCATCATAATTAATAGTACAAACAATCTACTACAGTACGGCGCGTCAATAATCGGTCTGGACCCCAGCAAATGGCTTTCCGGCCCAACTACGAGCTGGAACTGAATAAACTAATGGGATCGCGTGACTTCGTAACTGACCCATCCACTGAAATGAAAAAAACGCTGCATAATTCACGTTTACAAACAATTGAATTATACATGGGCCTGGCAGCCGCACACAGCGACGAGAGTGTTTTTAGCCGAATCAAAAGAGTGGAAGACAGAATCCTACAGCTAGAGTCCATATCCCCGGAGTACAGACACTTTGTAAATATACATTTTCCCCATCTTCCATTGGCATTCTATAAATATTTAAATCTATTTCCAGACAAATCTCGAACCACCGTCGTCGCTGGCACCGACGCTCCCGAAAAAGATGCGAAAAAAATCATATTCTGCCCAGGAACTGGGCGCTTTCATCCAGAAACTCAAGGATGGTGACAGGGATTTAAATATACATTTAAAATAAATACCAAATGTCAATTGGTTTTAAAATGTAGTAAAAATTTATTTTTCAACATTTTAACTATTTTTAATAGTTATTTTAAATGCATAAATGAGGGTGAAATAATCCAAAAAGTTGTTTCGTTTAAAACTAAGGAATATGAATTAAGCGTGGCTGCTGATTTGTTTGTTTTGTTTATTTCGTTCATCGGTCGTCAAGCTTCATAGATTACGCCCGAAAATCTAAAGGTTATTCGTTAACCGGAGCTGCTTACTAATTATGTAATACGTGAAAATGTTAAACCTTATTCTCCTCCGTCTCTGTCTCCGTCGCCGTTCCTAGCACAGAGTGGGGAACTGAGCTTCATCGTCGACCTTCAGGGGCTTCTGGCCCGAGCGGCGCTTCTCTCCGATTCTATTGTTGTTGTCCTGCCTGTCATAGCCGTTGCTGGCCCCCGAGTTGTAGCGCGGGCCGTTACCGCGAGGACCATCGTTGCGATAACCTCCTTCACGGGGTCCGTCGTTGCGATAACCTCCCTCGCGGGGTCCGTCGTTGCGGAATCCTCCTTCGCGAGGTCCGTCGTTGCGGAAACCTCCTTCGCGAGGACCACCAACACCCGGGCGCGGTCCCTTGCGGAAGCCACCGGCCTTGCGTCCATCATTGAAGTTAAACTGAATGTCGACGATTCGCTGGAGGCGACCCACGCGCTGCGGATACAGCGACGGATCGTACTCCATCTCATCCTCGCTATTGCTCTCCTTTTTCTTGCTCAAAACAACCATCTTTTTCCATTCCGGATTCTCGACGCCCTCGCCAGCCTTGCGCAAGTTGTAGTTGGGCTTGGCGCGCTGGTCCCGCAAGGCCTTCCATTCGTCAAGGGTCATCTGCTTGGACTCGTCCTCCTCTGCAACGGCAGCGGGATCAGCCGACTGTTCGTTTGCCGAGTCCTCTTTGTCCGCCTGCGGCGCTGATTCCCCGGTCTTCTGATCCTCAATGTCCTGCTTCGGGGATCCCCAGTTGTGGGCACCACCGCCTTCGCGCTTATCGATGGCCTTGACGCCTGGAAAAATGGAAAAACGTTAGTTATTAGTGGGCCTTCGCATTTGACTGTAAAGATTAAGTCTCTCAAAAGCTATTACAGTAGAAATATTTATAAATATAAAATAAAATCGTAATGGCAAATACTGTTATCATCAGAAACCTGCAAAGCTCGCGAGCATTTCGTACTTTGGTAAGAGATTTGTAGATTTACATTGTAGATTAATCAGTATAGGGGTCATTGGGTTAACATAAGTTTTTAAGTTAATAAGTTAACAAAAAAACCTTAAGAAAACAATAAAACCTGTCATTCTAGGCCATAATTTGGCCTTGTTGCCTGTCATTCATTATAGCAACAAAATTTTATAAAACTTTATAAACCGTTAACATAAATTCTACTTTATATTAAAATATTTCAAAGCCAAAAATCACGTGGAGAACTGAGAACTCTAACAAATCGCAATCTTGTTGCCAAGTGCTCTCCTTTCTCATTTGCAGCATACCGCCATTGCAGGTTGATGTTTCTCTCTGAGAAAATTCATTTAGAATTTCGACAAATTTCCCGAATTGCTCAGAAAAACTATTTAAATTAAACAATTACGTTGTATAAACGGTGAAAACATAAACAAAACACCTAGAGCTGAATAAAACGATTATAAATTTAAACAAATTAAGATTTTTAGTGTTTTCCATGCCTATTTTCGAATTTTCTGGAATAGCCGGCTGCCAAAGTCACGTGTAAATTGAGAGTGGTGGGCAAGCACTTTTGTAATCTTGTTACCAAGTGTCCGGCGTGCTCCCATTTTGTCTACATTTTACTGCATGCCGCCATTGCAGATTAATATTAATGTTAAAATGCCATTTGATTCAAGTAATCAAGCAATGTAAATAAGAGAACAAAGAAAAAAAAAAACAGCCCTGGGTCTCGGAGTCTCACATATCGCGAATCTTGGGTGGGGTGTAATTACCGGTTTTATCGGATCCCGACTGGCGATCGAACTCGCGCTTGCCGAATTTCTCGCCGGCGCGGACGCGTGGTGGTCCCCTGTTATCACGATTGTTGAACTGGCGCTGCGGCAGCTCGTTGCCGAACTCTCCGGCATCCCGGTTGCCGCCGAAATTGCGCTGATTGTTGTTATTGTTGCTTCTGGCATTGAAGTTCCTCTCGCCGTTTCCGGCAGGAGCGTTAGCATTTCGCGGAGGCGGACCCGCCTTGCCTCCCTTCACTGGACTGGTGCCGCCGGCGGTCTTGGAAACCGCATTATTTGCCTTCTTGGCCGCAGCAGCACCCACCGGCTTGTTCTCCTTCTCCGGCTTGCTCTTCGGCGCCTTGGGAGCCGATGCCTCCGGTTTCTTGGCCGGCGCAGCGGTTACGGCTGCAACAGGAATCTGTGGCGGGGCATCGTCGTCCATGAACAACAGCTCGTAGCGGTTATTGCCTGAATTATCCATATTGAAAATGGTCTGCGGGTGACAAGTAAGCTGATTTATGATTATTTTCTCGGTGGGAGTGCGCGTCTCTAATCGCACATGGCCGGCTGGGATCGGTCGCAACGAAAATCGGTTCAGGTTTGCAAAAACGCGGAGCACAAATTACGCACCTTGCCGGAAACGAAAGAAAGAGAATCGATTGCGCATTCGATGCTTAAAAATCGTTTGACACTTGGTTATCGAATGAAATTTGCCAACCGTCAGTGATGGTGTTATGACACTACCGCTTTAGAGAGACTTGACAGCTCCATTGTGGCTTACACAAGTGCGAGCAAGACGACTATATGGTACTTATAATGCAAGTTTTAAAACATCTACATAAGATATATGTAATTAAAAGGTATATTAGCCAGTGCATTAGAGGTCAAAACTCAAAATGGTAAGGCAATGAGAACTGTATTTTACTGGATTCTTAAACTGTATAATATTACAAATTAAGGTAAAATAATATGTTTTCGGTGGCGAGGTTCTCGGGCTGCAATATTAGTTAAAAATATATATTATTTTGGTAATAATTACAAAATTTGTATGCATTTTACTGTGTCATAAATCCATTACTGTGTCATACGGCCATGGCGATACGAGGTTGATGAAAACATCGATGCTTCAAACATCGATATTTGTTGCAAGTCTTCCGTTGTTGTCCGATGTTTTTGTTGATTAGAAAACGTTCTCCATAAACCGAAAATTAAGAAATTAATAGAAACTGCAGAAATGGGTTATAATTAAAATTGTATATTCAGATATTTTGAAAACATAACATCGCGATAGTTTTCTTTGAAAATGTATCGATATTTGGGTATTTTGGTGACTTTTCACATCCCTAGTCCAGTCCAAAAATATCTGACATTTGTTTCTTTGATGCGTTGCCATCGAAATTCTCTGTCCTCTTCGGCTTAAATGCAAGTAACAAATTTAAGTTAGCGCAAATTCTCATTGTACTTTCGTAATCCGGCGCTAATTTGCGCCTTTGCGTATGCGTGAGAGGAAGCGGAGCCGCGGAGCAGAGTAGCAGCGAAGCAGCGTTTAGAGAGCCGAAGAAGAGAAGGAGGACGGGGATCTTGGCCATTGGATTGGGTGCACGAGCACGAGCTTCTAGAAATCGCAATTGGTAAAGGGGCCGTCGCGTTTGCGTTTCGCCGGTGAGTCTAAAATAAGATATTACTACTTCCCAATATAGAGTAAGTTATTCATAAGGCTAATTTAAGTGCGTGCTCGTGTGCCTGCGAGTGGGTTTCTCACATGAACACGGAACGGGACACATGCATAAACAAAAAAATCAATACCGCTTTAATGGCGACATGCAGTTTTTCTGTTTTCGTCTCTTCTTTTTTTGGGAGCTCTGCTCCGGCGTTTAACGGGCTTACGCTTCCCTGTATGGATGCGGCATCACCTTGACCTCAGTTCCTACGATTGAAATCGCAAACTCAATTTCCGGCGACAAATTTCGAGGAGGGGAAAACGAAGGCCTTAAAAGCCGCATTTGAACTTCGTGATGTCATATTATGACGTCGTTTTCACTCCTTTTTCGGATTTTTGTCGCATACAAATCGACGGTGCCTCTGTTATAATAAGGTCATGTCGGCAATAGGCCTCGTTTTACTTTTACCTGCATATGTTAGCTTTTGATTATCCTAGTTTCGGGGGTTGTTGCCTGCTGCTGCCACCCCTTCTCGCAAGTAATGCAGGTCTAACTGCTATTTTTACACCCTCAACCATAGATATACGGTATAAACGAAAAAAAACAATAGATATCTTAAAATGGAAACTCGATTAGAATGCGCATAAAGTCGAGGCTTCAAGTCCAAGATGTATAAGGAGTTGCAAACGTTTTTCTTAGTGAAAAACACTAAAAAAAGCGGCAGCTGAATTTAATGAGAAATCTTTGTTTTTAATGAAGCTGCAATTTGTTTTAATTTTAGATATTTGTAAAACCGTTGGCAAGCTTAAACACAACTACAAACAAATACCGTCTCTAAAAATGTTGAGATCTTGATATTTGGCATGAGGTTTTTGAAAACTACTTTAAAATGTAATTTTACATTTTATCAGTTAAAAAACCATATCAGAATTTGTGCCTGCCTGGAATTCTTTTACAATTTAAAATTAGAGGAATAAAGTCCTTGAGTAGGTACTCCTTCTAAATATACGGCCAAGGCTAAAACTTACTTTATTAAAGTAAAGTTTATCCCTCGAAAAATATTAATTCCAAGTTAAGAAAATATGCCATTCTACTAAAAGCAGGTGGTTAACCGACTTAAGCATGTTTTAATGCTCACAGCCCATCTTCGGATTTCTCCACCCCCCCTGGTTGAAAATATTTAATTAATTAAATCAATCGCCTTTACATAATTGTGTGCTTTTGAATACATTTTGGGAAATATATCTTACAACAATTGCAAGAATCAAGTTTTTCACATAATATAATATGTCAGTATTTCTTAATCTTAACCTTAATGATTAAGATAATACTAGTGTTCAGATTCTCCACTAACTGAAATTTTTTTTTCTAGTGGTAGTTTTATTATTTTTTTTTAATATGTGTTTTTATACATTTTTCTTATTTTATAGAACGATTTATTGTACGTTTCTGTGTCTGGTAATCATTTATTGATAACTGTCCGATTGATATGAAATTCTCTAAATTTAAAGAAATCTTGGAAAAGGTTTTCTACTATATACATTTTCATTTCAAAAAACCCGCAATGTTTCAAAAATGTACATGAAAAGGTGGACTTTTTGATATAGGCTAGATTCGTTGCTTGGAGTCTACCCTTCAAACGGAAATGTGGATTAAAAACGTACACTTTACTATATCCAAAAAATGTATTAGTTAAAAAATATGTAAACTTATGTAGAATAAGTACGCATTCACTATTCAAAAAGATGGCAATGATTTTAGCAAAGTATTACATTATCTAATTTCGATCTTTTTTAGGAAAAACTAAAAGAGATGATTTTGTGAGCGTAACCGGGAAGCGTACCAAATCTCGTAACTTTATCTCTTATAGTTCCCGAGATCTGCATCAAATTAATGTCTAGATCGAATCACTTTTGATACTGACATCCCCACATAAATTCCTGCTAACGAAAGAGTACTTCTTTTATAATTCCCGCATAATGTTCTAATTTTGCGGCAAATTAGCTTCGGCTACCTCCCACTTCCCGCTCTTTAAAAATGCTATCTATCGCTTCTATTATCCAATTGCTTTTGATACTTCTGCTACTATACCGTCTTTGTTGTATTCAAACGAATACGATGGGACTGGTGCATGTGATGTATGGAATTATAGCTAGAATTTCTGGACGACAAATAATGAAAATATCATACGCCTGCCACGAGTATTTGGTTGCTTTACTTGTGATCTATGTCCGTATCCTGCATCTACTATGTTCGACAAGTGCTTCCTTGTTCTCTGCTAGCTTAAGAAACATAGAATAGATAATTAATGTTTTAGATAAATAGAAAACAAAAAAAAAAAATATTTATAAGAGTAATTTTGGCTATTACTTGTATACATTTTATATAAAAGCTTTTTTTCCTTCAATTTTATAGCCACTCAATATCTGAAATCAAAACTCACATTAGTATCTGTTGATACGAATAACCAAATCGAAACCAAAAGTGTTAGTTAACTGCGAGCCACATGAACAGCGATTAATGTTTATAGGTATCACAAGCACACAAGATGAATACCAAAAACATTGCGCCCAACAGACCCATAGATGGGACAAAATTTCTTGAGTTGTTGACAACAGTATCATTGAACGAGGTGCTCAGATTTGAGTTTCGCAAATTTTCGTCGCAGAAATGGCAAAGCATGGTGTTGCAAGAACAGGGAAAGTACCAATGCAACTGCTGCAATGTCGTACAATGGGGGGAAAAAAATCTCTTCAGCCACCTCAGTGGTAAGAAGCACAACGCACTATTGATCGGTAATCCACAATGGCAAATCAGAATTAAGCCACTCGGTGCTCCAAAGCAAGCTGCCGGCAACAAAATCAACTCACCTTCCATATCCAAGAATCAGAATACTTCCAACACTAATAAGGTTCAAAACAAAAACGATAACAACGTGGCCAAGCCAGCAGCTAACACAAGTGGAAACGTAGCGCCACAGAAAGCCACTCCAAATGCTGCTGGTGGTAATAACCAAGCGAACAGGACCCTTCAAAGTCCGGGGATGAAAAAAGGACCCAACTTGACGGCCCTATCAAACACTAATAAGAACACGGGAGGGTCAAATAATCTGGGACAAAAAGCGCAGCCTCAAGTAAAACCACAGTCCCAACCAGGAAAACCAAATACTCAGGCACAAAAAGAACAGAACCAGCCACAGAAAGCACAATCCCAGCCACAGAAAGAACAGCCTCAACAGAAAGAACAGTCTCAACAGAAAGCACAGTCTCAGCCACAGAAAGCACAGGCTCCACAACAAACACAAAGTCAGACTAAGCCTCCGCAGGGCCAACAAAGAACACAACAAGGCCAAGGTGGGATGCAACAATCCAATTCGAAGAAATCACCAGACATAGTGAAAAATCCACTCGCCACCAAAATAACCTGTGTTCCGCTGGCGAACCTAATCAGTGCTACCCCAGAGCCTGTAACAGATGACAACAACGATGTCATCATTATAGATGAGGATCAGCCGGCAGAGGGTGACAAGAACTTGGCCGGTCCCAAGAACCTCAAACCCAATCAAGCTGGTCCGAGTCAGGCAGCTCCGAATCAGGCAGCTCCAAAGCCGAAACCTATGCCGAATCAAGCAGCTACAAAGCAACCTGTGCCCAATCAATCAGCTCCCAAACAAAATATGCCCAATCAAGGTGGTCCAAAGAACCCAACGGCTAACCAAGGTGGTCTAAACAAACCAATGGCTAACCAGGCGGGATCCAAGCAAAAGTCTACGCCGCCTAATCATGCAGGAACCAGAAATATTTTACCTATACAGAGATTGCCAAGCAAGAATGCCGTGGCTCCCGTTCGCTCTGTTCCCGCTGAAAAGGTAATAGCACCTTCGTCTTATGGCGGCCCAGGGATACCACGTGCAGCTCCGTCCTATCCTGGCACATCGAATAAACCAACTGGCATTACCTTTGATTCCAATTCACATCAAGACGAAATCATGAAGCTGGTTGGAGTTGAGTACGTTTTGAAAATAGTGAGGAGTCTGAACGACTTGAATATACGCTATTTGTGTTGCTTATGCGAAATAACCGTCACCGAGCAATCAATGCACAACCATTTGTTGGGCTACAACCACCGTCTCAAGTACTTTGACAAGCATTATCCGACTGCCATGCGTCAGTTCCGCCAGTATGTGTCCAATGTGCCCGAGAGCGATGTCTGCAAGATCATGATTCCCATATTCGATAAGCTTGCCCTGGCCATTGAGACGCATCATGGTCGAAAGACGCCCTTCCAATGCTATGAGCACTTCTTTGCCAAAGATCGTCAGTCTCTGATCTCCAAGGCCTTTAATCGATTCCATGCCTCGGAGAAGGTGGGTCCATCGTTTACGCATGTCGTGGACGCGCAAGAGGTGGATGAGTTAATAAAAAATGCACGAAGCAACACCCAGTGCGTTATGAACATGGAAAACCCGAATCCCTACATGTGTCCTCCGGCCTCGAATTATGCTGTGGGCTACCAGAATATGCCTGTGGCGGCGAGCAATGTCCCATCAAATACCGTCGACGATGAGACGCACAAGCGAATGGTTGAGAATTTTCTTCGAGACACTAGGCAATCCTCGGGAGATAATCAGAAGTCCCGAAGCTCGAAGCGCTCCCGGTCCAAGTCTCCACAACAAAGAAAGAGGGTGGCAACAACGAATCCCATGAAGAACAAGCTATGGAACCTCGAACGCTGGTCGGTGTCTCCACTGAGAGAAGGGGACATCTGGCAGGCCTACCGTCACATGGTCGATATGAAGGTTCGCGAACTGAACAACTCGTTTGCAACGTACAAGTCTGACCCGGAGCAGCATCCGAATTATCAGAGCGAGTGGCAAATGTTCTGGAAGCGCCGCAAGGACGAGCTTGTTCTCGCCGGGATCAACCATCGTTCGTACAACTATCAAAACGAATGGATTCATTTCTTTAACAATCGCCTTGAAGAACTGTATGACCAGGACATTGAGAACATCAAAGTAAAATGCCGCGAAAGATTGTGCCTGCCCATGACTAATAATGAATTGAGTAACAAAAAGTATCATGTCAATGTTCCCGAGCCACCTTCTTCCCCTGTAATAACCCACAACGAGCCAGTAGCCAATAGAGACGTTCAGAAAATGTCAGTCGATGAGGAGACTGAGGCTCCTCCCAATGTGATTCACGTTCTGCGCCTTTTAACTGCTTTGGAGGATTACCTTGGTAGCTTGGGGCCTTTTATTACCGAAATGCTGGCCAAAGCCTTGCAGGCCCAAAAACTTTATCCCGAGCAAATACATAGCCTAACGCTGACAGCAGAGAATTGTGCCATCTTGGAGACGGCAAAGGAAAAGTTTACTGGCCTCTTGATTTCGCAGATCTACGATCCCACCAAGGAGCGAGCATTGAAGAAGGCGATTAGTGACACGGAACTATTGCTTGAAGTGGCCAGCAAATACACCAATCCCAAAGATACCGTCGCACTTCCTATTGTTGAAAAGCAAACGCCGCAAATTGTAAACCGAATTCAGCAAAACGTCGAAAAGCCGTTGAATAAAACTGAATTAGCAGCCAAATTGGCATCGTCATTGGTATCCCAGGGCAAAACATCCATTAATCGCGAAGAACTGCAGAAAATCCTTCAAGTTTATACGATGATTGAGCAAAAGAAACGTCAGGATATTGGTGAAGCCCCAAGCAACTCGGGAAATTATCTACCCTCCAACTTGGACAATCAGTTACGCAGCAACTCTGGAAATCATCTCCACAACAACTCTGGATATCTCCCTAGCAATTCGGGAAATAATCTCCCCAGCTACATGGGAAATAATCTTCCCAGAGACTCTGGAAATTATGCCAGCAATTACTCGGAAAATTCTTTATCCCCAGTACGTCCAAGTCCCCTGATTTCAAACCCAATTAACAATGATAACTTGTTGACACAACACTCGGCTAGAAATTTAAATGTCGCGAACAATGCGAGCAACACGACCAGTATGTATACTGGTCAAAACTATCCCTCAAATGTGGCTCGCTTTAATAACCAAAACACTAACAGCATAACTAACACCACAAGCGCGTTTTCGGCTGATCGTGGACTGTTTGGATCTGGCGTATTATCATCATCGACATCATCGTATCAAAACAGTCAGTTTGGCACTGGACCGTCACTGAATCCTACCAGCAGCGTTCTGCGGAACGATATAAGCACTTCGTCGCTTTTCAACTTCAATACCCATTTGAATCCAACATACAACAACACCAACACAAGCCGAAGGAATTTCTAAATGATAATGATTATGTTAGCTTAAATATGAATTAGAATTATGATTGAACACCTACCTGTATAATTTTACAATGATGTAATCACTGAATTTACAAACCATCCGCATACATTGAAGATCTGTACAACATTTTAACAATGTAATGTAAATAAACTTCATAATTCGACACCTTTTAGTTTAATCATTTGCAACATACATACACACTTCAAAGATCAGAATATATTTACATGTCTACATTATTTTACAACATTAATTTTTCCGTTTTTTTATTGTAAAATATATTTGTAGCGTATTATAATTATTTCAGTGCAAGGAATACATTTCTTTACTCTGGAAAACAACGAAATTAGAGGTAGCTAACCAGATAGATATGATAATGTATTTTTTTTTTTTACCAAGTTTAGTAATTTTTAAAGTGGTAATTATGTGTGATTGCCAACGTAACACTTCCTTATTTTTAAAATAAAAATATCTATGATCAATTGGTTCTATCGTTCCAAAGGCAGAAATAAAATTAGTTGTTTTGACCGTTCCAAAATATTGTAAAAGAAAAACTAAACGTCTAGATCAAGTCGCCCGCTAATTAGGCAAGCAACATACTTCCTTTTTAAACTACTCAAAAATATTAAATATAAATAATAAAAAAAAAACTAAATATAAGGCTTAAGTTCAATTGTATTTTTATAAGATGGCCTGGTTCCAGTGGCACTACATACAACCTTAAAGCTTAAATTCTACTTCGCAAAAACTTCTGCTAGTAGAATCGACATAAAATGAGGCTGGAGAAATATGTATGTGTTCTCGGAAACAGGCTTTATACATAGTCCTTAAGTTTGAACTGAAACCGAACCGCACGTGGATAATACATCAACAGTAAGGAGGATTGTAACGAACAAGCAAAGATGTGCTTTAAAGATGGAACTGAACCCGAACTGCAGCAATTATCTAAAACTCCAATGGTTGGATTGAATTTGTAAACCCTTAATTTGTACAATCAAGGATAATATGGATTCAATAAATGTCTTCACAGAATACCGTAAAACAAGCCAAAACTTTTGGGGATACTTTAAGGTACTCAGATCTCCCCAACTCGCCGCCAATTAGTTTTTTAGATGTCTTAGTCGCGCTACAAACGCTTAGAATAAAAACCCAACATCTTTCGCTCCTAAATATTGGTTTTATTATAGATCAATCTTCTGCATCTTGCTTGAAAGCCACCGGAACCTCCAGAGATGGGGTGTTTTATGTTTTGGGAAAAGGTACGAATCAAATCGAATCTTATTCTTTATAAGTTATTCATTCCCGTGCAGATCCTTAATAAACTGATATCCATTTAAAGTCTAAGGTCAAGTTTCTATGGTCACTGTTAAATTTTTTGGAGTACATATAAAGTCCTGAAAATGCAGCTACTAACTGTGTAATTACAAGAGTTAACATTGACAGGGACACCCCTATAAAACCTTTTACGGTTCGACACAAAAGCAGTATAGCAGCTGGTTTTGAGTAGAGTAAATTTCTATGCTGCTCTTCGCAACACAAATCGGTGCTTATCAGCACTCTTTCATTATTTCGCGTTTGAATTAATTGGAAAACCAATTAACTTAACGGCAAGCTTATCTTGTACTTATCTTTCCTTTAACAGTGAGTGTAGAAACCGGCCCTAAATGGATTGCATTTCTCAGTGGATTCAATAGTTGATAAGGTGCAGATTTTAACAAGAACAACACCCAGTATCATAGATTCGAATTCGATTAAATCTCGGCTTACACAATTAAACTGGTGAAGGAAAGATGAATCGATGTAGTGACTTCTTCCTTTTTCACAAGGGCACCGAATTCTTAGCACTTTCCCTTAAATTATAATCCATTAACAGCGTAAATGGCGTGGTTCCTGAGAAGTTCTTGATACAACATTGCTCACACCTTTAATGTCAGCGTTCGTGTGGAAGGATCCTCGGCACAGCTCAGTCTTACTAGCACAATTGTCGAACTTATTGCCTTCTAACCGTTTCTTAAAATCAATTCTTCCTCTTAAAAAATCATACGCCCACGCCACTGATCAATATGCACTTACCATCTTAGGTTTAGTAAAAACATAGAATTTAGTCTGATATACAAATATTTATATATTTATTTCACAATTTCAGAAGTCGTTATGCCTTCTTCCTTGTGTGAACCACATACAAGTTCTTCGTAAGTTGAGTATTTTTTAAACGAAACACCTATTCTGTAGCTTCAAGCGTTCAATTGATAAAAATAATAATAACTTGGTAAATAAAACATATTTATTTTATCTGTAACTTGGGGCACAAAATAAATGTTTCATGTTTTAATTTGCTGTTCGCTTTGACATTAATACTTTATTTGTTTCGGTGTACATGGTGCTGTAGAGCCAATTTAGAATATCTAAAGCAGGATGATTGGATTACTAGTGGAAAGCTGGGCTCTCGCGAGGCAGTCCTGGTTTTTAGAACGAACATACTCAATCCGAAGACCCGCAAGACCCTATCGGAAAGGTCCTCCGCCCAGGCGCTGCTCGAGACCAAGAACAGGGAAGATTACGCTTCATGCCAAAAGGCGGAAACGTCTGCGCCAGCCTGTAGCAACGATGCTCTAAGCGGCGGCTCCACGCAGAAAAATATTTATTTAATAAAAAATCCACAAAATTGTGATAAATCGGATAAATTAAAGTTTTGTAGCCCCTTTAAGAAGATGCTTAACCGATATTCCTCGAGTGATACGTCCATTTCCAGCGAAGGCGAAGCCGAGCCTTCGCGCAGTATTGAAAACAAATCGCGAGTACTTAAGGCTAGTCAGAATTCCATAAATATAAAATTAGCTGAAGATGAAATGTCTAAGGAGAGTGGATACGATTCCCTGGGACCAGCCCAATCCCGAACGAATACGGCTGAAGCCAGCGAGGAGGATCCGGAGGCAACCAGCGAGGACGAGGTTGAATGTGGCGTCAACATGCCGGCCTATAAGCTTAACATAACGTACAAATTCCAGCAAACGGAAACCAAGTTGCTGCGAAAGCTCTTCAATGTCCATGGCCTTACCGAAGCGCAGGGTGAAAATAATTTTAACCTCCTCTGGACGGGTGTCCACATGAAATTGGATATTGTCAGAAATCTGGCGCCGTATCAAAGGGTTAATCATTTCCCCAGGTGACCGTAAAAACGCCAAAGTCTTTGCTCTATGCTAATTTGCTTTTTACAATTTACAGATCCTACGAGCTAACGCGAAAGGACAGGCTGTACAAGAACATTGAGCGTATGCAGCATCTCCGTGGGATGAAACATTTTGATATTGTGCCTCAGTCCTTTGTCCTGCCCATTGAGTCCCGGGACCTGTGTGTGGCCCACAACAAGCATCGCGGACCGTGGATAGTAAAGCCGGCAGCGTCCAGCCGTGGAAGGGGAATATTTATAGTTAATTCGGTAATATTAAGATTTCTGCATTTTTTCACTTAAAAATATTAAAATATTTATTCCTTGCAGCCCGACCAAATTCCGCAGGACGAACAGGTGCTTGTCTCCAAGTATATTGTGGACCCGCTGTGCATCGACGGCCACAAGTGTGATTTACGCGTTTACGTGCTAGTGACTTCCTTTGATCCCCTGATTATTTATCTTTACGAGGAGGGCATCGTGCGTCTGGCCACAGTGAAATATGACCGGCACGCTGATAACCTATGGAATCCCTGCATGCACCTGTGCAACTACAGCATCAACAAGTACCATTCGGATTACATACGGAGCTCCGATGCCCAGGACGAGGATGTGGGCCACAAATGGACGCTGTCGGCCCTTTTGAGGCACCTTAAACTCCAGAGTTGTGATACGCGTCAACTGATGCTGAACATTGAGGATTTGATTATTAAGGCCGTCCTGGCCTGTGCACAATCCGTCATTTCCGCCTGCCGCATGTTCGTGCCCAACGGCAACAACTGCTTCGAGCTGTACGGCTTCGATATATTGATAGACAACGCCCTGAAGCCATGGCTTCTGGAAATCAATCTGTCGCCATCAATGGGCGTTGATAGTCCGTTGGACACGAAGGTGAAGTCATGCCTGATGGCCGACCTACTCACCTGCGTTGGCATTCCGGCCTATAGTCCAGAAATGAGATCTCACTACGACCAGAAATGGTCGCGATTCCAACGTAGTTCCAGCTGCCAAAGGCAGCCAACCGCCTACCCCGGCGTCGCCCTCGCGCAAAAGTCAAAGAAAACGAAGAAGAAGGGAGGAGCAGCGGCAGCCGCTGCCAACGTTCAGGCCCAACTTACCGGCGAAGAGCAGCGCATTTTGCGCCATACACGCCAACAGTATTCCCGCCGCGGCGGATTCGTACGTATTTTCCCCACGGACGACTCCATGCAGCGTTATGGTAACTTCCTAGACTCCAGTACTGGCATTCCCATTTCCACGCCGACGGTGCAAAGTCAGACATTCCAGACACCGGTCTTGCAACACAACTACAACCAAATGCTGCATCTGAATCTATACTGCCAGGATGCAGGCCGGCATGGCAGAGACGATAACTCGGAGGAGAACCGCATTGGGCAGTACGAGAGGGCCCTGGAGACCGATTCAGAGATTCCGTTCGTCAAGAAGGCGGCGGTGGCCAAGTGTGAGGAGGAGGGCCGCAGGCTGCGCAAGGTGATGCTTAAGAAGATTTCCAATGGATCGGAACTGACTCAGTTCCAGGCGCGGCAGACTTTCAGCTTGTATTTGGAGTCGGTGCTACGCCGCCTAACCGAGGATCCCAAGGACAATCACGAGAAAATTATCCTGAAGTTTTTGAACAAATTCGGGGGAGCCGTGAAGCCGCCAGTTGTGTTCCGGAATATGCAGAGCCTCAAGGTGGCCAGCAAGGCCCGATCGGCAATGGTAGCCAAGCTTCTGGGCGACTTTCTGGAGAACTACAAGCGGGACACCGAGGCGTATGTAGATTCGTTCGATCACTTCGGGATGATACCATCCAGTGCCTACAATCAGTTCCTGATGCACGCCCAAGAGTCCGACTTGGAGGCAGTGCTGACTCTTCACACCAATGTTACCGGAATCATGCCCTTCCTGTACAATCGATGTGGACTGTCAGTGCCACCAACGCCGCCGATTCCGTGCGGCTTGCACGGATTTTTAAGAGCCCTCCCCTCCATGGTGACCACCTCCGGTACGGCCAGGGAGCTCAGCAAGTACGATGGATACTTCAAGAACTGCGACAAGGAGAAGATATTCCTATAAGAGACCCGGAAGCACACATTAAGCGAGGCTTAAGCATCTATTTAGCTAAATGTTCGAAGCTTTTGTCCAGTCAGTAATACTTGGTAGTAAGCCAAATTATTTTTGTATTCAAATTTTCGCATTAAGGCAGAGGATTAAACACAACATATAAAACTGTTATAGGAGACAACGAATATAAAAATGTAGTTTTTGAACTGCTTTATAATAAATTAAACGGAAATAGCTTTTATATTAAAAACAAGAAGGTCAACTTTTTCTGCCTGCAACACAACTCATAGCTTTAACAAATATAATACTTTCTACGCCAAAGATATATGAAACCGAAACTTCGAAAATAAACGATAAATGCACAAAATAACAAAACAATCCAAACGTCTTTACATTTTATATTTACATTTTAAGGTTTTTTGTGAATTATTTAAAGGATGTTTATAATGAAAGTATATTTTATATTCCATAACTTTGTCTTGTTTGATTTTAATTTTATATTTTAATTCTTTAAAATATTTTTGAATTCGTTATACTTGAAATATTTAGCTGAACGGCTTTAAACTTTATTTATATTATATATTATATTCTATAGCTTTGGCTTGTCTTTATGTTTAAAACTTAACTTAAACTTTTATATCACAATCCTTTAAAATATTTTTAAATTTGTTATGTTTTTGAAATATTTAGGTGTTAAATAGTTTGATTTGTCATTTATATATAGTTTATCATTTTATTTTATTAATTTTATTATTTATTTGTTTAATTAGTTGGATTTTACCAAGTCCTAGCTTACGTTTTTCAACCTTGACGATTTGAGAGTTTTGCTTTTTTACTTCTAAACAAGCTGTTTTTCGTTCAAAAAAACCGTTGAAACTCTCACCCAAACATACCGTAAATAGCTCTGAGAACTCAATGAGCCTCCCCCCGCCCGCTCCAGGGTGTAGTTTGGGCCAAAATATTTAAATATGGGCAACGTGTAATACATGTGGCTACGTGCGTTGGGGAAAAGCTTTTCCAGGAACAGCTTTCTGCCTGGAGCTTTCGAGAGAATAATCGCGAGTGGTGTTGCCAGTGGTCATCATTTCCTTTTTTGGCAGAAAAACTCACTTCTGCTCGTAAACTTGTAATGGCACAAATAATAGAAATTAGTAATTACTAAAAATAAAAATAAAAACTTTTCCTGTGGGCCTGACTCGCACATAAATCTGTCAATTCGAAATACGAGCCAAGCGAATGGACTGCTAATAGGATCTCTGGGGACAAATGTGCGGTAAGCAAACAAATGGTATTGATTAATTCTCCAGCAAAATAAATAAATATATATTTTCGATATATCCTTTCTGGTAGCAACAACACCCACTAGGAAGCCCCCCACTCACGCCGCACAGATACAGATAGCTGCGTGAAGCCATTTTTATATGCTGGCAGTTGTTGGAGGAAATTCAATTTTCAGAAACATATCCAAACAATGACAGCTGATTCCAGTGCACGTAATGTATTCCGAAAGAACGGCGTTGCCGGCTTGGGGAACAACGGTCATGGCCGGAATCTTATTACGACGGCGAATCCATCCGGCGGGAGCAGTGCCTCCCTGCTCCAGAAGCAATTGTCCTTTAAGACGCCCGTGGGGTCCAAGCAGATGGGCAAATCCGATGAGATTGAAATGATTGACAGTGCGAACATCGAAAACTTCAATACGCGATATAATAAGGTAATGAGATGTTGCGTTGTGGAATACATATTGCTTAAACTTTGACCTTTGCATAGAGTGGATCAGAATAATATGTCGTGTGCTTTTTTATTTTAAAATTAAATTAAATTAAATTTTTTTAGTTTAGTTTAAGAAAAAGGCATTAGAATACAGAGAGGCAGCTCTCTTTTGAGATTACAAAAACAAATAATGTGCGATTAACTCTGTTATATAGAAACTTTTCTTGGTTAAAAATAGAAAAAAATAGATTTAATAATTTTACAACATTTTATTTAATTAAAATTACAGAATAGTATTATTGGATGGATATGCTGTGCCCCGTGTATATGGCTGCGTACCTCCGCGGCGGTGCACAAAATGGCCATCACTTCGGCCACCTTGCTGGTGACCACATTGCTGGTAGCATCGCCCATTTTATTTTTGATAAGCACCGCACCCTCTCCCCTGCCGCGAGATTGTTATATGGAGGGGGATCGATGCTCGCCCGCCGTCTCAGCACCGCCCGAATGCACGGATCCCATTTGCGAAGCAGTGGCCTCCAGCATCCAGGCCAGACTCAATTGGAACAAGGATCCGTGCACCGAGTTCAAAAAGTTTAGCTGCTGGCGCAATACCCGAAATAAGAACATAACGAACCTCATCGAAATGGGGAACTCGCAGAAAAGTGTCGACTCACAAATGCTGTGTAAGATTTTGTAAATTTTCCTCGTCTTAACAAGGATTTTTTCAAGCTTCTTCCTTTCAGATCTTTTTCAAAACAAAATAATGAACGACACTTTTAATATATTGCACAATTTGTTCGAAAGCTGCCTGCAGCAGACAACTAACTCTACTATTATGCACCACATTTTGGATTCTTTGGGTGGATATATACCTGTTGGCTCAGTGGGACCCTCCAGCATAGCGCCTTTGATAGCTAAAATTTATGATCTCGGTCCAAGTCCCTTGGTGGACTTGTATTACGATCTAAGCTATGGAAGGAGGCCGCACATTCTACTCATAATCAGTGGACCCAGTACATCGTCAACTATACTTGAGGTGGCTGTTAATATTTATATAAAATGATGTTTACTGAATATAGAATATATTTACTTAGCGCAAAATTCGCTGGATGAGCCCGAAAGCACCACCAAGTCGTATTCGACAAGGACTACCGAAACTATTGGCCGATTTAATCGACAATTTTCTACCATATTTTGTGTCATATGCTCAAAGAGTGTCTGAGAAGGATACAATTTTTGAATTTATTAAGGACCTAAACAAGGTAAGTTCAAAATATTTAATATATTACTTATATATTAATTAATAACAATTTCAGCTCCAAGTGGAGCACTCTCGCCGAGGCTTCTGGGACAGCACTGTTTTATATAATGTATCCAACCTACAAGACTTGTACCCAGTTGTGAGTATAAAAACTGAATATACATATTATTATGAGAAAGGAAACTAACTTTGAATCAAAAAGATATCCTAATTAAGCCAAACTGTTCTGTGTTAGATATTTCTAGTTTAAAAGTTTATTTCCTTATTGTCTCCAGCTAAATTGGACCCTGTTAATACCATCGAATTGGAGTGGACCCATCGTTGTCAGAAATAGTGATTATCTGAAGGCCTTAGAATATTTTCTTACCAAGTATCCAACCCGAGTGGCACACAACTCGCTGCTTTTGCTGAGCGCTTTAGAAATACTGCCCAGGGATTATCCCAGTCCCGAGGTATGCACGCGATCTACGATGTGGGCCTTGCCCGAATTGTCATCGGCCTTGTATATTGCTCAGCACTCATCCGATGATCTGAAGGATATAACGAAAAGGGTATAGTTACGGAAGATTTTAAAGAAATAAAAAATCAAATATTAACATAAATTTCAGGCGGAGATCATATTTAAATCCTTGAAAGCACACCTAAAGAGAGCTCCTTCACTGAAGGGAGCTGCCCTCGTGAAATTATCGGCATTAAAGATCCAGTCACAGACCTGGGATGGCTTTTCAAATACCACGGATTTACTGAGAACCCTTCAAACCTTGGACATAACCGCCGAGTGTTGGTTTCAAAACATCCTGGAGATATACAAGAAGAACAAGCTGGTACCAACGGATATTAACTTGCATGGAGGAGGCTCCCATGATGCGTAAGGGCTTGGTTTTAACTCATGGCTTCTCTATTTAAAACCTATATTTCTACAGCTGGGCCTACCCCATCGTTTCGACTATATTCTACGACACCCTTAGCCATTCTATCGGTCTGTATTTGCATACTTACATAATGCATTAAAGCTTCTTAATAATTTTGTAAATATTCGCAGTTGTCCCATTATCTGTCATCCTCATACCGTATTTCAATGCTGTGTTGCCTCCATATTTACATTACGCCTCTGTTGGTGTATCCATTGCGAAGGAGATTTTGCGTTCGATTACCAAATCGTTTGACGAGAAGGCCATGCGTTGTGTTCCACATTCTGTGAACATATTCTCGAACTATAGCCGCATGGATATACTGATTCATTCGGGAGGAATGCAGATCTCATACCACTCAATGCTCTCCCTAACCGGACCCATCAAGGGAATGGCAAGGTTACCAGGCCTCAATCTAACGCCGACACAAATCTTCTTTTTAGTCTCGGCTCAGGAGCTGTGCGCCGAATCGAATTACTTGGGCATTGATACCAATGCTCCCGAGTTTGATAATATGTAAGCTTTTAAGACCTTTTTATTGGCTTCTAATTGAATAATGAAACTATTGCAGATTGGGTTGGCTCGTTGCCCAAGGCGGGAGCGCGACTGAAGTATTCAAGTGTCCATCGGGATCCATGATCAATGTACAAAAAACCTGCAATGTGCTTTAAACGTGTCTGTCGCCCTCGAGACTAGAGTACCTACTACTTACCTTGTCTATGATCTGAATCATCAGCTAAAAATATAGTAGCCTTAGGGACTTACCATAGTATTGTTTTTATTTGAAAATTGTGAAATGTATATTTTTCATAAATATACTGTTAATAAACTGTTGGTTTATGTTTGAACCCCGAGCCTTGAAACTGTTTACCAAAATATAGATGAAAGAGAATAAATAGATTTTAAAAAACGAACATCTTTGTTTTACTTGAAACCCAGTAAGCCTGTTAAATAATTTTAAAAACAAATTGAATGGTTAGAAATAAGTAAAAAATGCAACTAAAATGAAAAATCCAATATTTCTAGTATTCATTTTTATAATTCTTAAAAATATTCCTATTACATTAGCCAAAAGTAACCCCGAATCAATGATATCTGAAGACATAAACGCAATTCTAATCAAGTGCCCTGAAAACAGCGTAAATAACACATGCGAGCCGCATTTAATTATTAATATTCACATGAACCCAAGCGTTGACTTGAACAATATGGAGGACTCTTGGATACTCGATGAAGTGTACGATCCGACAAGGCGAGCGGTTCTAAAAATAATATCCCCCTATTTGATAGTCGTGGGTCGGGGCGAGCCAGTTGTCATGTATCCTCTTCAGTATGAAGAAGTCTGTATAAATTAAAATGTATCCTTACACATTGGGTTAGTAATTAAAACTATTTTTTAGTCAATTAAGCATCAGGAGTTCAGGAATGAAACACCCACTAAAGATGATGTCAAGGACCGCGAAGGCTCACCGTCTAGTAAGGCTAACGAAACTCGTCCTTCAATGAAAATGAAAGTAAGGCAAGAGGTCAAGGACGTTCAAGGCCTCCCTACGCATAAGACTGACGAACCCCGTCCTTCTTTAAACATGAAAGAACCTGAAGGTGAACTACTCTCCGAAGATGATGTCAAGGTCGTTCAAGGTTCTTCATCCGATAACACTAGCGCACCAAACCCTACTATTAAGGGAGTTGAAGATGGCAAGGACGTTCAAGGTTCTCCACCTGATCAGAATAAAGAACCTGATCCTTTAATAAATATGAACGAACGTAAAAATCAACAACCCACCGAAGATGACGCCAAGGACGCTCAAGGCTCTCAATCTGCTAAGACTGACGATCCTCGCCCTTCAGTGAATATGACAGAACGGGAAGATGAACAACCCACAAAAAACGTCATGGCTTCTAGTAAGACTAACGAACCTAATCCATTAATAAATATGAAGGAAAGTAATGACAAGGACGTTCAAGGTTCACCATCTGATCAGAACAACGAACCTGGTCCTTCAATAAACATAAACGAGCGTGAAAATGAAAAAGCCACCGATGATGATACCAAAAACGTTGAAGACTTCCAAGCTCCTAATACAGACGAGCCTCTTTCTTCTATGAACATGAAAGAAGGGGAAGATGAACAACCCACCGAAGATGACGACAAGGAGAGTCCGGACTCACTATCTAACGAATCTGTAATAAGTATGAAAGAAAGTGAACAGGTCAAGGCCCTTCAAAGTTCTCCATCTGGCAACGTCAACGAACCTAACCCTTCAATAAATATAAAGGAAAGTGAAGATGACAAGGAAGGTCAAGGTTCACCATCTGATCAGAACAACGAACCTGAGCCTTCATTAAATATGAAGGAAAGTGAAAATGACAAGGACGTTCAAGGTCCACCATCTGAACAGAACAACGAACCTGAGCCCTCAAGAAATATGAAGGAAAGTGAAAATGACAAGGACCCTCAAGGTTCACCATCTGATCAGAACAACGAACCTATCCCTTCAATAAACATGAAGGAACGTAAAGATAAAGAACCCACCGAAGATAATGCCAAGGATGCTCAAGAATCTCAATCAGCTAATACTGATGGAGCTCTTCCTTCAATAAATATGAAAGAACAGGAAGATGAACATCCCACCGTAGAAAACGTAGTCAGTCATGGCTTACTATCGAGTACAACTAACGAAACAATAAATATAAATGAACAAGAAAATGCCGATGAAACTCAAAGTATCCAATCTGGTGAATCTAAGGACTCTCCTGAAATCTTAAATTTGAAAAAATATGACGAAGTCAAGGACCTTCAAAATATAAATATAAAAGATCACAAACTTGAAAATCCAAGCGAATATGTTATCAAGAATTGTGAAGATTCTCCATCTCGTAATGAAAGTGGCGATCCTTCTAGAAGTGAGTAACAAAATATATCCCTTTCCTGTATATAGTGCTATGATTCCACTCTAATTTCAGTGAAGAGAAATCAAGGGCTAGTATATACTAGTAAAAAATCTGTAGGGTTCAACATTGCTCTTCTTCAGAAATCGCCAGGACAGGATGCAACCTGGGTTCACGAAAAACCGTTATTTAGTCAAAGTGAAATTTCAACCCTTGGATTAATTGAAATTAGAGATCCGCTCTTAAAGAAAAGTAATTAATATAATGATTTTTTTTATAATTTTATGCATTTTCTAAACGTTTTAAGTTGCAGATCGGATACGAGGGCTTTGTCACAACAGAATCCCAAAATTTAATAAGAAGCAGGATGAAAAGAAAAGTTCACTTAGGTCTTATCAGCTTTATAATCGAGAAATGAATATGAACGATCGAAATAAAATTAAGCAAATAGAAAGACATACGGAGGCATCTGTGCAAAATAGCAATTCTTGGGATAAACAAATTCTTGACACGGTAAGATTAAAGGTAAATTCTTAAGAATTTGATAAATTTGGAAATGTTACTTACAGAATTCGCAGAACAAGATTTACCAGAACGGGAAGGAAAGAGATTACCACCAAAAATCTGAAAGGTATTCGGATAATACAAAGGATAAAGAATTTCCGCAGTAAGTTCATTCGTTGTGGGAAATGATTTTTCAACTAGAATTAATGGGCGGGTATTACAAAGTCGAGGCTGTCGACTTTACAGCTCTACTACATTATTTATTTATTTTTATTCTTATATATATGTTTATATTTAGATTTCATAAAATACAACTGGGAAATCAAAAGAAAGACATCTTAGAAGTAATTAAAAACTATAAGCCTGGTTTTAACACACGAAATGAAAGCCATCCTAATACTGTCGGTTCTAATTCGAATGGAAATTATCTCTCTCCTAGAACTCAGAGTCTAAAGAGTTTTCCACCCGAGAAAGAAGAATATCACAATTTTAAATCCCTCGATTTTCCACAAGAAAATAAACCAGTACAGAATAGGTTCAAGCTTCCCTATAATAGCCTATTTAATTCAGATAATGCTCCAAACGAAAGGCAACATTACAGATATGATCCTAGGCCACCTCTCAATGTTCCAACCGATTTAAATGATAGAAAAGATGAACATTATAATGCTAAGACAGCTGAGAATGAAATTAATACGGGCAACAATCCGCCAGAAGAAAGAACTCCTGAACATGACAGAAAAAATGAATATTATAATATGAAAGCAGCAGAATATAATATTAACACTGGAAATGAGCTATCACAAGAAAAATCCCCTGAACAGGACATTAAAAATAAATATTATAACGCAAAGACAGCTGATCAAGCAGAAGAAAAAGTTTCTGAACATGACAGAAATGATAAACATTATGTCACGACAACTGAGAATAGTATTTATAAAGAAAATTACCTACCTCAAGAAAGATTTTCTGAACTGCAATTAAAAAATGAATATTATAATACTAAGACAACCGAAAATATTCCTCAAGAAAAAATTCCTGAACATGAAACAAGAAATGAACATTATAATGCTAAGACAGCTGAGTATAATATTTATACGGAAAATCAGTCAGAAGAAGGAGCTCCTGAACATGAAAGAACAAATGAATATAATGCCAAGACAGCAGAAACCAAATTTTGTAACCTACCAGAAGAAAGAGTTCCAGAACAAGATATTAGAAATGAATATTATGCTGCTAAGACAGCTGAGAATATTTCTAAAGGATATTATCTACCAGAGGAAAGAGTTATTGAACATGACAGAAAAGGTGTCAAGACAAATGAGAATAATATTTATAAACAAAGTGGCCTACCACAAGAAAGATTTCCCGAATTTGATATCAAAAATGAATATTATAATACTAAAACAGACGAGAATATTTATAAAGGGAGTGATCTACCGCAAGAAAGAGTTCCTGAACATGACAGAAAAAATGAATATAATAAAGCTAAGACAGACGAGAATATTATTTATAAGGAAAATTATCTAACAGAAGGAAGTGTTTCTGATCATGACAGTAAAGATGAACCTAATAATATTTATAAGGAAAATTATCTTTTACAAGAAAAAGTTCCTGAACAAGAAAGAAATAATGAATTTAATAATGTCAAGGGAACTGAGAATAGTATTTATATAAAAAATGATATACCACAAGAAAAAGTTCCTGAACATGACATAACAAATAATTATTATAATTTTAATAAAGCACAAAATAATATTTATAAAGAAAATAACCTGCCACAGGGAAGAGGTTCTGAACAGGACATTAAAAACAAATATTATAATGCCAAGACAACTGAACAGGACATTAAAAATAAATATTATAATGCCAAGACAACTGAAAACATGTATAATGAAAATTACTTATCACCACAAGTTCCTGAACTTGACAGAAAAAACGAATATAATAATGCTCTCAGTAATATTTATATGAAAAGTGATCTACCACAAAGAAGAGATCCTGAACATGACATCAATAATGAATACTATAATGCCAAGTCAACTGAGCATAATGTTAATAAAGGAAATAATCTACCGGGTAATGACAGAAATAATGAATATTATAATGCTAATGTAGCCGAAAAAAATATTTATAAAGAAAATGATCTACCAGAAGGAAGAGGTTCTCAACATTACAGAAAAGATGAGCCGTATAATGCCAAGACAACTGAGAATAATATTAATATAGAAAATTATAATCCACAAAGAATTCGTGAACTTGACAGAAAAAATGAATATTATAATGTTCAAGCTGAAAAGAATAATAATTATATAGAAAATAATCTACCAAAAGGAATAGTTGCTGAACATGGCCGAAAAAATGACTATTATAGTGCTAAGACAGATGAAAATATTTATAAAGGAAGTGATCTACCAGAGGAAAGAGATCTTGAACATGACAGAAAAGGTGAACATTACATCCAGAAAACTGAGAAAACTGAGAAAATGGAAAATTATTTTCCACAAGGAATATTTCCTGAATATGACATAGAAAATAAATTTTATAATCCTATGAAATCTGATAATATTTATAAAGGAAACTATCTACCACAAGGAAGATTTCCTGAACTTGACAGAAAAAATGAATACTATAATGTTCAAAAAGAAAAAAACATTATTTATGATCGACCACAAAGGATAGGTTCTAAACATAATAATTATAATGCAAATTACCTAACCCAAGGAAGAGCTCCTGGACTAGACATTAAAAATAAATATTCCATTACTAAGACAACTGAGAATAATATTTACAATAGAAATGACCTACCACAAGTTTCGGAACAGGACATCAAAAATTTATATTTTAATGCTAGGGCAGCACAGAATAGATCTAGACTAAATTATCTAAGCAGCGGAGAAAGGGAGAAATTTAAATTCAATGAACCAATGAAGAGTCATTCCGGAACTAGTAATGTTCCATATTCCAAGGAATATAATCTGCTTAATGCTAATTCACGTGCGAGCAGTACTCCCAATTATAATAATTATATGTTGAACCAAACTGAAATTGATTTTATTATAAACAAACACATGAGGGAGGGTCTACGGAGTAAGTTATTGTTTTATTATATGTTATATTCATTCTTTACATTTAAATCTTGTATTTATATAACAGAGAATAATAATTATAAAAATGATCAAACATACAATGGCCAAAATGCTCATACTATACCATATAATATAAAGCCTGGAGATCTGGAAAGTAGGTTTCCTTTAGTTTTCTAATTAGACATTTACCCTAAACCTAATATTTTTCATACAGATACTTATATTTCTAAAAATGCCCAACAATTTGATTTGAATAATTTTCAAAGTATGCCACATAATTTCAATCCCAAAGATTTATATTCCGATCTCGGTCAACCATATTCACAGTCAAAGTTTCCTCAGAGGAAACCGTTGTCATCTTATCCCAGGGCTAACCCTTACAGACCTGTACCTCGAAATTTTAAAAGAATTAGACGAAGCTGGCATACTAGAGAAAATAGAGATGCAAATCAATATATGAAAGATGGGTTCAGTTTACAAAAAATTGAAGAGAATGGCGAGGTTCCATGCGATACTTGTGGTGGGAAGAATAAAAAGAAGGATGAAAAGCCCCCAGCAAGATTTTGCAGTGCCTTGATAGAACCAAAAAGCTCCGAAAGTAAACTGGAAGAGTTTAATGCACCAGAAAAACTGAACGATGTCATTCCCTGTGATACTTGTGGAGGAAAGAACAAAAAAGGAGAAGGAAAATCCCCACCTGGCAGTCTTGATTCTGAGGTTCAAATGGTAAAAGCGGAAAGCGTTCAGCCATTAACATCAGAGGATGCAATACCATGTGAAAAGTGCAAGGTAAACCGTGAAGGTAACCTGGCTGCTCAGTCCTGCGGATGCGTAAGCAATCCCAGCGTATGCAACTGTGAAGTCTCCAAGTTATCCCGAGCTCTTAATCAGAGGTATTGTTTTTTAACAATTTTTATTGTAAATATTTTTTTCGCTAATTGTTTGTTTATACTTTTAGTAAGGAAGACATCAATTATGGCGTGTTCAACATGAACAGTCCCATTCCATATTTAACAACTCAGCTGCGGGTTTTCAGGAGACGCCATAATACCTGGTGGAGGATTGTTCCCATTGTAAGGTAAGTCTTAAAGAAAAATATATATTTCAAGAGAAAAACAAGAAAGAAAGCTAACTTCGGCACGCCGAAGTTTGTATACCCTTGCAGATTGGTTTTCATATTTATGTCATAAATTATAATGCCGAAAACAGACACTAAACTGAGTTACATACCATTTTACCTATACTTATTATGTTTGCAGTTTGACAGTTACAGTTATACATTCCCAGCTTTACATTTTCTCTACATCTGATCGCTTCTATGGCTGCTATATGATATAGTTGTCCGACTTTCATAAAATGTATACCAAAATTCTATAATAATAAGTAAAGCTCATATCTCAGAGTAGATGAAAATACATTGAAAAACAACGAAGTTATAATTTTTTCTATTACTTTCCCTATCGTTCCTATGGCAGCTATAAGATATAGTCGTCCGATTGTCATAAAATTTTTACCAAAATTTTGAAATAATACCAGAAGCTCATGTGTCAAAGTAGATTAAAATACGTTGAAAAACAACGAAGTTATAATTTTTTTCGATTAATTTCCCGATCGTTCCTATGGCAGCTATAAGATATAGTGGTCAGATTTTCATAAAATTTTTACCAAAATTCTGGAATAATAAAAAAAGGCTTCATCCCAAAAATGGTGGAATAATATTGAAAAACAGCCAAGTTAAAATTATTTTTCTAAAAATTTATTGAACATTTGTATGGCAGCTATATGATATAGTCGTCCGATCCGGCCCGTTCCGACATATATAGCAGTGAGAGTATATAGAAGACTATATGCAAAGTTTCATTCAGATAGCTTTAAAACTGAGGGACTAGTTTGCGTAGAAACGGACAGACGGACGGACAGACGGACAGACGGACAGACGGACGGACAGACGGACAGACGGACATGGCTAGATCGACTCGGCTGTTGATGCTGATCAAGAATATATATACTTTATAGGGTCGGAAACGTCTCCTTCACTGCGTTGCAAACTTCTGACTGAAATTATAATACCCTGCAAGGGTATAAAAATTATACTAATATGTCCCAGAATTCGTACCGTGGAATTTTTAGGAGAAATTTTATCCTTATCCGTATATTTATAAGTTTTAAAATCCTATTCCATATATATTTCAGGCTTGATAGTGTGTCAGGAATATTTGCAAATAAAAATATGTCCATGGTATTTTCTACACGCGTTGGAACATTGCGGCAGGAAAAATCTGCAAGGTTTTCAGATCACAAACTTTTTATTCCTTTAAAAAGTGATGGCCAACTGGCCGAGACAAGGAGCTTAGAGACGTTAACGGAATTGCAGAATAACATTGGGAAAAGCTTTCTGATTGGCAGTTCTAGGAAGGACCTTGCCACTCGTGAAATAAAGGATTTCGAAGAGGATGCCATTAAAGGTATTGACAGCCTGGGTTATTTTCCAGTAACCATGAAAGCTTTACAAATGTGTCCCCATAACGACAAGAATATTTGCCTAAACATTCGAGGGGAAAGAGTTCCAGGTAAGACCTATTTAAATTCAAATTTTATTTATTTATATTTACCTTTGGTTATACCCTTAGAGTTTAGTATAAAAGTCAAGATTCCCTTTCGGGAAAATGCTTTTATGGTGAAAAAAAGGCATGTGGTAAAGATATTCAGCATTGTTACCGATGCTACTACAAAGGATGCCATACAAATTTCAATCGATGTTATTAACAAGGGCCTAGAGGCACATGAATACTCCATATATGTTTATAATTGTCCCCTTTCCAAAAGTGCTTTAAGTACGACTAGTATCAGAAGGCAATTACTGCCAGATATTGGCCAAAATGTTACCTTTTTACTACCATTTATAAATAGCGCAAAGAAAAACAAGAAATTTACTTGTGATGGTAAGTGAAAACTCAGAGTTTTTGAACAATTCTAAAGTATATTAAAAACTACAGTGGTTGTAAAGGAATCCGACTTGAATAATTCCAATAAAAGCTTCTTTTTGAAGTCATCTGATATAAAGGCCGGTATTATTGCCAAGAGGACCATGGACATTAAAGTTCACTCAAGGTGCTTCTGCATTGGGCGATGTCGCTGTCATTGCATGGAAAAGTTACAAACTTTTGTAAATTACAACATCTGCGAGAGAATGAGCCGTAGGGCGCAGGAGGATGCAGGACTCATATACAATTGCCCGCCCGGAAATGAAAGAAACGATGTTTGCATCACTGACTTGTCGTGTGACAGTCGTAAGAAAACATCTTTCAACATATTTTATAAAATTCAAACTGTTATTTTAATTCTTTTTATTTGGTTGCTTATTTTCGGTAAGCTTTTTAAAAAAGCCTTACAGTATTTTCTAATTTAAATAAAAATTATTCCACAGGTCTTTTGAAAGCCATTTTTGGTCTCTGTATTCGATCGATAGATCAATATGGATTCGAGACTGTTCAGCCTGGCAGATATTATGCTTGCTCATCCAGGATTCGAATATTTATTGTGAATGTTTTCTTCTTTATTATTTATCCCTTGACCTGCTGGTGCAAGTGTTTCAAGCCAAAACCGGAGGACTTGATGGCTGCCAGTACCGATTGGTCCTGTAATCATGAAGTGGATGACGACGATTGTTCTTTGGGCGAGGTAAATAGAAAGTTCTGTCATATCTGCGTAATAAATTATATATATTATATTATTTTTACAGCATAAAGACTCGGAGAAAAGATCTCGACTTTGTGGTGGTGGACCTGCTCAGAAACTATCTGAGGACCTGCTATTGGCCTTTGCTCCCCATTATGAAAATGGTTTATTTAAAGACGACAAACCCGATGATGAGGAGAGCACATTATTTATTTTAGAAGTTTTGGAGGAAAGCAAAACTTCATTGAGTAAAATGGTAACTCAGTATGATTATGCTTTTCATTCAATTTACAAACTAACAATTTTCACACAGATGAGTCAAAGCACCAAGAGTTCTGACAGTCCCGAGATGGTTTCCAAATGTGCGGAGAACAGCGAAGAAGAAAGAACAGCCGAGGAGCTAGTGGAAAATCTCAAAACCTCACAGAGGGCTTACAGGCTAATGAGTTCGCCAGTGGGCGGAGTGATAAACATTCCGGAAAATAGTCAATATTGTGTTAAAGGCTTCTTTCTTCCCACCATAAAGGGAACCTATGAATTCTTTAGCTATCATCCTCTGGTTCAGTATATAGGCTTCTCAAAGGAGGTATTTCTTAACTTCTTTGTAATTTGTTCTTGTAAATAATTATATTTTCTATTTAGAATGAAGTTATGAAGCTGATGAAACCCCAATATCTACGTACAGATGAATTCTCTAGGACTTATGCCAATAAATTAGAGGTCTTAAAGGCGGGGGATCTATCGGTGGGCTGCCCTCCGAATATTCCTTGCGTAAATATCACTCCATCGAGCGATTTGGAAAACTCTTTCCTAAAGCTTTCAGAGCTGTTAAAGGAGACACGCAGCGAGTAAGGAGAATCTTTAAAGCTAATTCTTATATTTTCGTTTATTTTTATTGTTTTCTTAAATTTTAATTGTTTACAATATGTTAAATAAATTGTTGTTGTTATTAATTTAAGGGGACATTGTATGCCGAGTATTCATTGGACTCGTCTTGAGTATCCACGGTGTTTTTATCTTCGTTTCCAGACCGTATGTCTATTAAGCCGCTGCCATCAGTAATCGTATCTGAAGAATCATCTGGCTTATGGTTTGGTGGAAACGTTGTTGTTTTAATATCTGCATTGCCGTGGTATTTGATAAAGTAAACTGGCACTTTTGTGGTAGGAACAGCTGCTTGTTGGCTTTGATTGGGTTGCTCTTTTAAAACAATTTCCGGCTTAATCGTATTTGGAATTGCTTCTTGACTTTGACTTGAAGTTTTTTCTCTCAAAACTTCGTTTGGACTTCTTATGGCTTCGTAGAACGAGGTATTTTCTGAGCCCTGAGCTTGATGCTCGTCCGGGGAATCGTAAAGGTTTCCATTATGGTTTGCAGATGAGTATAAAGGGTTGCTCGGCAATACTTCTTGATTGCTATGCTGAAGCTGATTGTAATGCTCGTTTATGTACGATGTAGGTATTGCAGTAGTCAGAAAATATTTATTTTCTGTATTTAAATCCGACTGAGATGCATATGTTATGCTGGGTCTTGTAGGAGTCTCATTGGGAACAAGGTAATGGTAATGAATGTGCTGGGCTGGACGTGGGTTCTGAATTTGCATTGGAAATCCAGCTGAAAACGTAGAGTGACTGTTGATCTGGGTTACAAACTCAGTTCGTGTAACTGGAGGGTTTTCAATGACGTTCATCTGAGGCACCTCATGGACACATGGATACCCTGTATCAATGTTTGAGGCGCGAGTTATATCGTTTCCAAAACTGACTTGTACAGGGTTTTGATTTATTTCCTTGTGGCTTTGGCGGTTAACGATTCTTCCAATTGATTGTGCTTGAATAAGGGAAGTTTTTAAATTATCATTGCTTACTTCTGGCACCGAACGAGCACACTCTCCATGGATAGCTCCAAATAAAATAGTATTTAGAGCAAATATTACTCTTAAGCCTAACATTTCGTAAAAGATCGATAAATGTATTTCACAAGGCACCAGCAACAACTGTCTTTTATCTGCTCGGCAGACTGCCTTTATACGAGTTGAAGATTATATAATAAATACTTTCCGAATTGTTCGTGATATCAATAAACACTATATTGGCTGTATCCAAAGACAACTTAATTTATTTATTTGTTTATTTCGGTGAAAGGCCAAGTCGACTGTAATTATGGTGTCAACGTTAATAGAGTTTGCCTTGCGTGGGCTTCACCAAATTTTAGACACTTTAGTTGGCTGCTCTATATAAAAAATAAGCCATTGTAAATGCTAGTTTCTATGCTTTTCGCAAATGGAAATACTCTTTGGTAGGGTATTACAAGAAATAAAAAAATATATGTTACGCAATGTGAAAGTTTTGTTTATTTATGCAGTCACTTTATCTCCACAATCCAACTCAATATAAAAAACCAGCTGCGATAACTGAAGCTTTACTGCAGAGGAACCCCAAAACAGTCCGAAGAATTACGTTATTCACTTAGCACTTTATAAAGATTTTATTATTACTATAAAATGTATTACAACAAATATGTAAAATGACAAAAAATGAGGAGAAAATACACTATTACACACATATATATATGCTTGCGAATGTTGTTAAGCCTAGAATTCAGCCCCATTGTTGGCAGGGCGATTATCAATCGTGTTGTTACTTAATATAAATGCAAAATCACTGTAAAAATTTCAAACTTAAAGTACTACTAAAAATAGTCGTATTAATGTTTTATTATATTCATATTTAGATTCGATTGATATATTTATATATAAGACATACTATATGTTTTTGTGGTTTGATGACCTATAAATGAGCTATGCAGAGACACTTGAATATCGGCTTTCGGCTGACGGCTTCCTAGCGAATGGTTTTAACAGGTGGTTTCTAGAAGTGGATCAGGCTTATAAGTAGTCGTAAAGGGCTTTACATTATTAACAGATGCGGAATCTTTGGGGGCTCGTTTCAAAGAGACAAAGTCTTCATGGTGGCTCTCTGCACTCTGCACAGCGGCATCCCTATTCGCATGAAATCTATCTGGCATTTTCGTCTTCTGTGGTTCCCGGTCGCCACAAGCTGGCACTTTACTAACGTTCCGATCGCTGAGAGACAACGACAAGTTTCTCTCCAACGGCGGCTCGCGAATCTGCTCAGATAGCCGACGAATATTGAGAGGAAGCTCCTCCTTGGATTGAGTGGGAATCGATAGGGAGCTGTGCCTAGAGTGCAGTGCCAGATCGTTCGGACAAAGTAAGTTGCTATTATTATTCTGATATACTGATTTTCTAACATGGTTCGGTAACGGGCTGGAAATCTCCTTGACTTTATCGGGTATGTAGCTGGCGGATTTACTTTGGTCCAGGGACCAAGCCTTATGCGATGAGTTGCGGTGTTGTGGGGAAAACGGGGCAAAAAGCAGTCCTGGCTCTTTTAAAAACACGTGTTCGTGATCATCGGTTGGATCATCAATTGCAGTTTTCGAATGCTTCAGTTGTGGCTTAACGCACTTGGATTTCTCAGTCCTGGTTGACAGCAGTTTATTGTTTATGGAAGAGAGAGATTTTTCGCGATAGATATTCTTTTTGGGAAGCCGTGTTGCCACCTCTACGGTGGCTTCTTCTTGAGTTTGCCGCCTGACCCAAGGATCTATGTTGTGATGCAAGTTTAAATGCTTTTCCGCTTTGGGTGAGATGCTGCTTTTAATGTCCGCATTCTTAATCCAAGGATCCGATGGATAGACCAAACAGCCCGTACTTCTGTTATTCGTTTCGTATAAAAAGTTTGCCTTATCCATCTCCACATTGTTGGGCGAAGTTTGCTCGGATTTGCTAATTTTGTGAGTAAGTTGGCGGTAAAATTGATTGTCTGCACTGCTGGCGAGCTGTTTTGTGTTACGGGAAGCTGTTCGCGGTGATTTTCTGATTTCGCTCTCATCGGATATTATGATGGCCTGTTGAAAGCCACTTTTATGCAATGACAGCTTCGGAGACACGGCACACTTTAATTGCAAGCAGCCCTTGCTGGGATCATCTACACAGCTGTTACTCGCTTCTGAACTGAATTTGATTTTGATTTCGTCGTTGGTTTCCGAGTCGGATCCATTGGACTTGAGGGACTTCTCACAGTTGCACTTTATTGTTGTCGATGAAGTGGATAAAACGTTCTGACCTTTGTCCTTTAGAGATCTGTTCGATGCCACTCCTTTAACACTATCCACGGCATCGGTTTGTTGGGACACCTTGTTGTTTAAATATCGACCGGAAAGTTGGGCATGCTGGCTATTTAAATATATGTTTGCATTCATCGGTGAATGTGGAGAGAGTACTGGAAGTGTTGGAGCGATATTTGGTTGCTTTAATCGAGAAACAAAGAAGCCATTCGACTTCAGATCAGTTAATGGTGGGTCTTCATTCCTAATTTGCTTGTTATGTCTGCTGTTTCCGCACGATTTATTTGATAACTCAACTTTTGAGAGCTGTGGTGAGAAGGGTTGGGCTTTGGAATACGAGCCCGACTGTTTATGCTAAAGAAACTTCTGCTCCAGAGCTTTGGTAGAGCTCTGGCTGGAATTTGAGGCACCTGCAAAAAGACCGAACATACGGATTAGATAAACTCCAAAAACAGGGGGCTTATAAGAGAAGAAGAGCAAGCGTAAGAGAAGAGAAAAGGCCATCGAGATAATAATTGGTAAAGAGTTTTAATAAAATTGCATCCTTACGAGTAAAAGGTAAACTTTCAAAGTATCAAAAGATTGCTTTATTCAAACTTTTTGTCCTTACATAATAAAACCATATTACTGATGAAGCGTATTGCTTAATATTCATTTTCAAACCGAATGTCGTTTGTTTTTGTTACTTGTTTTGATTTCATCTACCGAATATTATGTTATGAATTATCATGTACAAGTTTAAGTTAAATGATATGACCTAGGCTTATTGAATTAATACGGGGACCAGGATCACAATGCTGTAAATATATATAGGGGGATCTCGGTACAAACCTCCTCACAACTAATTGTTACCTATGTATATATATTCATGTGTATAATCTTTGTTAAAATGCAATTCTCGAATGTATGTATTAATGTGAGCTGCTATATAATATATGTTTCATTTACAAACCATCGTTTTCAATCCGTTTGTTATTTGCTTCCACACTTTTTTTACTTGTTTCGCCTCCGCCTCCGCCTGCAGCCGCTACAGGATTTGGATGCTTTGAACTTAGGGACACACTAGCTGCGGCAGGGTTTGAATTGGTTATTACACCGGAAGTAGTGTCGCTAACGCCTCCATCGACATTATTCTTTAATTGTCATTTGATGAGCTCCACCGACAGGAATTTGCGCAGTCGCTCGTAATAATGTGGATGCAGTTCAACATCATTATGTCCAGCGCCCTGAAAAATCACAGTAATTAGTTTTATGGCCAATTATTTAATTTGTAATTATTAAAGTCTCAATAATCTCGGTTTGTAAATAAGAGTAGAACATTTTTTTAATATTATTATGTTGAGTTTGCCTATGAACACCAATAAGCTCGGTGGCAATGCCTAGCTATTATAATTAATTATAATAATTTTTCTATTACAAAAGCTCACACACAACTACAATAACTTGCTCTGGGGCTGGGGCAAGCCAATCAATCAACGTAAAATAGAAATAAATACTCATAATTACCTCCACCCAGAACGGCTCCACTGTCTTAGGACACCGCTCGTAGATTCCGATGCCATGGGAAAAGTCGATGACCTCGTCGTCGGTTCCATGAATAACCAGAACCGGAGCCTTCACCTTAGCCACCTTATCAATGCTGTTCGAAAACCAGATAAGATCAGATGCCGTTTTGATCGCAAATCAACGAACGCCGACACTCACCTGGGAAAGGCGTCGAAGAACCAGGTTCTCTTTGTGTTTCTAAACACCACTCTCAGGCCCGACATCAGCGGCGAGTGGAGTATCACAGCTCCGACTTCGTGACGCGAAGCCAAATCAACAGTCGGCACGGTGCCAATGCTCTGACCGTACAGGATTATTGTCTCCGGGCTGATGTTGAACCTAAGGAGCGAGGAAAATGTGGTCAAGAATGGATATATCAAAATATAGATATTGCCATCCTTACCGAGTTCGCATCGCCTGCCAGGCCGCCTCTATGTCCGCATACAGATTCTTTTCGGATGGCTTCCCGCCACTCATGCCGTAGCCGGAGTAGTCGTATCCAAAGATGTTGCAGTTGATCTGCGAGCCGAGTGTCAGGTAGAAGCTACTCATCTGGCCAAGGTCCACGGCATTCCCGTGGGAGAAGAGCAGCGTGTACTTGGCGTTCTTGCTGCACCTGACATAGATGCAGGTAATCAGGTTGCCACGCGACGTGCGCGTGAAGAAGGCCTCCACTTTCGATTTCTCCCGCTCGGAATACTGCCACTCGGCGCGGTCAAAGAGCTGCAGGTTGTACCTAATGTTCGTGTCGTCCGCCGGAGTCAGCTTGTACGTGGGCTCCGGTGGCTGGAAGGCCAACTTGGCCGCAATGGGGCCGGGGCATGGTGGGCAGCAGAACATGCAGCACAGCTCGCTTATACTGAACATGCTCGCTAGCTGCTCAGTGTCGAATGCCTCTTCAACGGAATGCAAGTTTTCTTTTCTTTTCTTCGGTTCTCTTTTCTTTTCTTTGGGTCTCGTCTCTCGGTGCGCGATACCATCAACAAAGGACAAACGAAGTGGCGGAGCTGCGCTATTTGGGGGCTATTTGTGTGCAACTTGTCAGTGGGCTAGGCGACGGGGTGACAAGACAGACATTTCATTTTTAATTCGGACACAAGATTCACCATAATCGAACGCCTAAATGTTAAATTGTGTTACTGAAATTTGGTACACTCACATTTACAAAAAACGGCAATGTAGATAGGCAAACAACCACAAAGAAGCAAGATGGCAAAAACGCCCTAAAAAACAACGGAACTTTCGGTATTAAAGTGTGACCGTGTAAGGAACGAGGGGAAAATGTTAGCAAATCGACAGTCTACTTTGTGGGAACGAAACGGAATTGCAACGAAGAGAAAATAATTAAATTAAAAAAATAAAACTAATTTTGCAGCCCAATGGGCTTTCATATAAATAAATTTAACAAATTCATATTATAAAAGTGGGTATTTTCTGTGCGACATTATGTACAATACGTACATATTCATGTAATAAATACATATATAGACAACAATTTTAATTTTGTAATCATTATAAATAAATTATACATTTTCAATTACAAATCTGAACATATCAAATTTTTTAAATTAAATTTTTTGTTCAATATATATATATATGTTTATTCATTGTGTGTCATATTTTTAGCTTTATTTATTATTATTTATTTTCGTTTATAAAAGAAATTAAATTAAAGCTGTTTCATACAAATTAAAACTAAAGACTATGTAAACAAGCTTTTGTGTCTATTAATTATGGAAATAATTGGTGTTCCTGTTCCCCTAAATCCTGAAATCGGCATTTTTTCTACTTCACCATTCCGATTACTTATCGATCATCAATTTGTTGTGATATTTTAATCCTGTGTTTGTGAGTCTAATCTACTTTTCTGCTGCCAAATTAATGTTTGTTTTAAATAATTGAAAAGTAACAATCTCTGTGGAGGTCATCAATTCTTTTGATTGTCGACAATTACCTGGATGTCCTTAATGTGTCCAAGTTCGGCTGATAACGCTAATTTGCACTTGTATGCATGTATGTACATATGCATGTACGAAGGAAGATCTTGTTGGGAAAAGATTGTACATACATACATCATCAAGGCGCTGTTAAACTGGGTAAGTAAACTTCGCAATAGGATCCGAGTGTTTACAATACATATCACCTTTTATATATACCAAAATAAACAGGCTTTGATCTAACTCACATTACGCACATGCATACATATGCACATTATAATTTATGGAGGTAACTTCTGTCCTTGTACATATGTATGTATGTACATATGTACCTATGTAAATGCAGGCATATGCAAATATTTGGTCGAATATGCTAAAATTAGAGGATACTATAATGTGCCATGGCTTACTCACACCTTTATAATTGGGATTATTAAGCCAACACCTAAAAGTACGCAGCGTGGAGGCCACCATAGAACGGAAACTCTCCCGGAAAATGAAAAGTGCCGTGTTTTGAGGGTATTAGTAAAACGTCGATCCGCTGGATTAAGCACATACACTATCTATTGAGGTAAAGTAAAGCATATACATTTATATGAATTAATTTCTGGAAAACATTCACAAAACAACCATATTCCTGGAGGAACATACATAAATATATCATCGTTTATAAAAGAAATTATATATTTAATGTTTTTTTTTGTTTACAAGCCTAAGGATTACCTAAATTTCATATGCAGTTAATAATTTAAGTCGGAAGTTAGTAACGCAGTAAAAAGAGTCACTTTCGACCCTATAAGTCACATATGTACATATATTCTTGATCAATATTAATTTTTTATTTAATTTTATTGTTTTTTTTTTTTTTCTATTAATAAACTTTGTTGTGAAATTTTTAAATCCAATAATAAAAACCAACACAGAAAAGTTTTTAGAATTAAAATAATGCATTTAATGCAACTTACAATTACCCTGATCCTAATTGTAAGTTGCAAAGGTAGCTTCCTTTTTTTTTGTTTATAATTAAAACCTGTTTATTATATATATTGTGTACCTATATAATAGATAAGCAACGATGACTTTAATTGGTTATTATTTTAGCTTCATGATTCTAGCTAACAAATATTTGTTAGATATACATTTTATTTATAATTTAGTTCAGATCAAAATAGAGACATCCGTAATTCAAGCTGTTTATTTGCGATCGGTAATTGGCAAAACAAATGTACGTTGATCAAGTTTAACATTGGTGTTCATTATTTAAATAAATATTTTTTCTTGCCAACCTTAGATATTAACTATTCAGTGTGTTGCCTCATTTTGTATGTAGATGAAGTTTTTGTCCTGTTTACAGGGTATTTTCCAAATCGAATGTTGAATCCAGCCGTCCTTTCTTGTAAGACATAACAACTAACATTCGCCGCCGTATCGACCGTGGTCCCCGCTCTTCTTTGCCTCTTCGCTGCAGTAGTTTATGGTTTATGTATGTGGATGGTAGATGGGTAACAAGAGCCAAGTCTTCCGACTGGGGTTGAAGTCAAACATATGTACGTAAGGATGATTGACAGCTAATGGGAAACAATAGCAACTCCAAGGTGTAGTATGTGCATGTGTGGGATGCAAATGATTTGCCAAACGAGGTAGGTAGGAAGGCAACTTAACCATTGCGGACCTATTTTCGACCTGTAATCGAATTAATCGAGGTCTATTTACTTACAACCTGTAGTTTGTTTTCCAGCTATAATTATCTATGGCAACAAACAACAGATTAGATGTTTCGTGCTTGTGTACACACACTGTTTTTTTGCAGAAAGTAAAGTCTGACGCTTCACTGCCAAAACTGTAATTATAGCACTAAACTTTTTGGTTTAACTGTTTTTTTTTTCGTTTTCCCCTCTAAGAAAACTATAATCCTGAAAAAGTGATCACAATTTCTACGTTTAATATGACGCGTAGTTCTTTTTATTGACTTTAGAGATCGTCTAAATTCAATCGTTTACAGTATATGTATTTTAAAATTAAAATGAGTACACAAGTAAATAACATAAGACTATAATAATGGGACAGCTAGTCAGTTGGGCTCTAGAGCTTAAAACACTTTTCAAATACTTTCAAAATACCGGCAAGGGGCCGTTGTGAAAGAGCGGCGGCGTTTTGTGATAGCAGGGCATATTTCCGTATTGGCTGTTGTACAGGAAGTTGGGAAAGTACATGTGGTACTGCGCGGCCAGTTCGTTGAAGTTAAATGGCAAGTTGAACAGGGGCTTCTTCAACCCGTCGGCAACGGGACTTCCGTAGTCCAAATGCACTAATCCCTTGGGATCCGGAGCTATCAGACTCTCGATGGTGAATGCACGCTTAGGACGAACCGCCGGCGACTGACTCAACGATGGAACTATAGACGGCGGTGGCGGCGGCGGTGCCTTGTAGGTTGATATGGCAGGAACCGAGGCATTCCCGAGATCGTAGTTGGTAGGAAGAGGAGCACTCCTTGGTGGTTCAACAAAACCCAATTGCGTTAGCTGATCGTCCATGTAATGGGACACCATGTCGTTGTTGGCGGCGGCGGCGGCGGCAGCGGCTGCTAGTTTCCAATTTGATAGATCCTTCTCGAGCTGCTTGACCCGGAATCGCTTGCGTCTCCGCAGCAGGCTCCCGTTCTCGAACATATCAAAGGCCATGGGATGGAGCGTCCAGTAGGATCCCTTGCCCGCCTTTGTCACATTACGGGGCACTTTGATGAAACAATCGTTGAAACTCAAATTGTGGCGCAATGAGTTTTGCCATTTTTGCGTATTTTTCCGGTAATAGGGGAACTGCTCCATAATAAATCGATATATCTCACTGAGCGGCAGCAGTCGTTGCGGCGAGTGTATAATGGCCATGGCCGTTAATGATATGTACGAGTATGGAGGCTTCTGATCACCGTAAGACATTTTCAATGGGCGTGGCATTGGGACGTCGTTTAAAATTTCACACAGTCGGTCGTCCGCAGCAGTCCCCTTTACTTTATTCTGACTTCAGTTAACTTTACTTTGCTCGGAGCAGCGATGTTCACTCGTCGGCAGCAGCGTTAAGACTAATGCGAGGGGCAGCCAAACTTCATGTTTTATGGAAGGAAGAACGAGCTCTGGCTCGGGCTCGAGCTGAGGCGCGCTGAGAGCAAGACCGGATCGGAGAGTTGGCCATCAGTCGTCCAGTGTTATACATACATATTGCGAGCGAGAAGGCAAGCGGTCCGGCATTGCTGGGTAAACAGGTATCAGGTCTGGTCGTCCTTGTCTGGGCCGCGTACCCAATGGCAGTCGAAGGTGTGTTGTTTACGCCGAAGCTCCGAGTGGGTTGCTCAGGGAGTCGCGACCAATCATCGGGCCCGCGATTACACCCATGCACCACAAGGTGGCCCAACAGCGGGAGCGTGGCGGAAAAGCGTTTTGTTCCCAGAGACAACAAGGCAACGAAACGCGGCCCCATTTTTTTCCTTCGCCATTTTCAATTTTCAGTGAGATAGTGCATGCGTGCTGAAAAAGCACAATGCCTCCTGCCTCCTACCTCGTACCTCGTACCCCGGGCTCGGGGAAAAAGGCAAAGCCCCTGCCTTGATTTGCAAGCTTTTGTCAATACCTGTTTATTTTATATGAATTGGGGGCGTGCCAGAACATGAAATAATAAAGGAAACGCTCGTATTTCACTTCCCATTGCATTATATTCGGCCATAAAATGATTCAAATTGTTTTTGGCTTTTGCATGGAATTGAAATATGAATTATGAAAGCAAATGTATGTATTTTCTGATATAAGTATGTTTACCAGATAAAGTTAAACATATCACTGGGGAACACATAAATACGTGTTCCTTTGTTACTTAGCTAAAATTATGTGTTTATAGGGGGAAAACCGGCCAAATTTGGGGAAAAATTAATAATAATGAATAGTTATTTAGGTATGGTTTGCTTATGGAAATATTTTAAATTGAAAGTTCAATTTAATAATTTTAAGGATACATATTAAAAATAATTAATAATGTTAATAACTACAATATGTACATATATCAAATTAAATTTATTTTGAATTGAACCATTTTTTGGAATCTATCAGTTATATTTGTATTTAAAATAAAAAGTAAAATAAGTACGTAACATTAATATTTAAATAAAATACTCAATATAAACCAATAAAATAATAATATCTTATTTTAATATTATCTTGTATTTTAAAGAAATATTAAAGACCTAAATCTAGGCGTTTTCACCTAATGTTAAAGTCTCCACACTTATGTTTAAAAATCTTATTTAATTTATATCCATTTGATTTAATGTTTTTT